TACGGCGCCTTATCCAAGTTAGTTGGGCCAAGTGGAGCGACTAATTACAAGTTACAAAAGCAACCACTTTCTTAGTCTCAGTCGTTAGACCAGATGGGCCCTTTATTTATTTTTTTATTAATTTGTTTTTTACTTGAAAAAGATTTAGAGTTGGTAACAACACATGTTACTCAGGATCTAGGGATGTACTACTAATACCCGAGAATACACGACGCTAGATTTTCAAACCAGGATAGTTAAGCTAGTGTATCTATCTAAGTACTCTGATACTTAAGTTTACTAAATGTAAAAGGTCAAAGGGGTTGACATATCCATATGGATTAAAACCCCAAACAAAATATAAGAATAAATAATCTTATTTCTTTGCAAAAGCGAAGGAATTGTAACCCGAGGGACTTCTTTCGTGAGACGAACTCTATGGTAACGTGCATCTAATAAGACATTTCTACGTCATCTATATAATTTATTCACTTTTACTTCACCACGAATTACATTATAATTAACACGAGCACGAAGTTTGTCCATAATCTATACCTACACTATTATTACTATTTATAGGAGGTCGATGGCACAGTGGTTAGCGCGGTCGGTCTACGATACGGTTGTTAAGTAACATTCGCAATGAGCGGTCATAGGATGGGTGACCAAAAATTTATTATCTTGAGCTCCTCCGTCTTTCGAACGGCACATTAAACCATTGGACCAGGCTACATCTTCAGTGTTAACCACCGATCTGCACTTCATGGCCATGGTCATGGATTCATGGATCATGGCCCATTCCCCAAATTCGAATCCTTCCATAGGGAAAAATCACCTGGGATAAGCTATATTTTACGCCGATGACATAAGCTATTATTTATTTGTTTGTGACTTTATTTGATTCTACTATTAAATACCTATTTTAATATTTCAATTAAACGAATGATATACCTAGGTGTGTAACTACAGTCTTAGTAATCACAATGACAGAACTTATGAGTCATCAAAGTCAAACACTTTATCATACGCGGTCTAGGAAACGCCTAAAAAACTAAACTCTTATCAACGACGCTATAAACTGTACCATGCATTATTGATATTATTGTTTTACAAAATAAACAATAAAATTAAATTACACATGCGAGTGTTATGTGGTAAGCGGTCGGTCACACAAATAGGTAGCTATGTATCTATATGTACAGTGATGAGTAACATATTTAATCCTTCCAACCATAAAATAGTTACGCAAGCAGGAAACTAAACACACCAAATCAACGCAGCCTATTATTCCACCTGACGAGATAGTCCGATGCGACCAATTAAACATTCATGAAGTCGCATATTTCATCTATTGTTATTTTCGACTAACAAAATGATCTATCAAGTACTGCCCGAGCCGCGGTACAAAGGAAAATACGATCAATGAGTATTTTTTATGTCTTATCTTCTGTCATTATTGCCTATTGCGTATTATATAGTTATTATTTTAATATCATCACCTTCACAAATACACACTCCTCTATGCCTGTGACGATTGATACAAATCTTTTATTCAAAAGCTTTACGTGTATACCAGGCATATAAAAATAAAGGTTCGAAAGATTGTTGGAAGTGTTCTTCTATAAATAATTTGTTCATGATGCCTTCCGCTTTAGAATGAATAAATGAAAAATACTTTTACTTTTTGCAAATTTGACTTTGGCTGGGGTACAGGGGCTCTTTGTACCGTACAGTGAACTCTTTCTAAAAGGTCATTTTTCAATGGCATAGTCTCCTCAGTATAAACATTTTTACGAGCACAAAAGAACAGAGATTTTTTGAATGTGCGATAATTCATAAAATTTCGTCTCTAAAAATTTACTGTTGCGACCACTATTTTGTCTACAACAAGAATTTAATCTAATTTTGTGGTAAAGCGCTCTCCACTGGTTTAAATTCGCCTTGGTAGGTAGGTACATACCGTATAGTTATGTACCTACCTGTAGTCATGGGTAGTATTCCATTCGAATGAGTTTTCGAAGCTGCTGACCAGTTAAAGACTCTGCTGTGTATATTGTTCTGCTTCAGTTTTGCTTCAGTCTGCTGTGTATATTGTGTATATTGTTCTGCTTGGAAGCAGAACTTACGTATGTCTCATTAATTATTAATAGTTATTACACCTCTTTTAATTCCAAAAATTTCATGACAATCAGCCCGGAAGCGGTTTCGCCATGAAAGCTTAGGGAAAAAAGGAAGGCATATAGATTAACTATCTACCTACATATTAAAATATTTTATTGAAAAGCTAGATTTCTTAATGACGAAACATTTAATGGAAAAATGTTTACAAAATTTTATCAATAATTTAATTGGTTCATTACTCTCGTAAAAACTCTCGTAAATATTTCATTACTACTAAAACTTAATTTGTTGAATTATATTATTTTACTAAAACCGAACCTGATTATTGTTATTATTGCATTTTTTGTAGACGTGATGATGTTAGATGAAATCATAAATGTCATCATCGTAAAAGGAGGCCCAGAAGTTGAAAATATATGTATTTTCAAAAGTTATAACATCGACAACACAGTTTCTTCATCAGATCGAACGGACGATTATTTGTGGTTAGCTTAAAAATGAATTAAAAAAAGATTTACTTAATCTAACTATGTCTTACGCCATATGATTATATAAGGTATTACAAGTGATTATTCAACTTTATCATTCATTACCGGTGAATAGTATGGCCGCTTCATCTTTCACTGTCGTTGAAATCTATTTTAACAGTTGTTCAATTATTTGTACTACAAACAAAGGTGACTGACCTTTTATAGGTTCACTATAACGAAAAATGTGGCATCATAAACAATAACACTGAATTGATTTTAAACGTTTATATAGTCGCAATTTTTGAACATTACTTGAGATCGTATCCAAACGTATCTCGCCAATTCATATCAAAACCGGTATTTCAAGCAGCATTGACCCTCGTCGCTAAACGATATTTGTCTAGAGCAGCGTATTTCGGGTTTCTAAAATGAAACCGTTTATTCAAAAATACATACTCATTATAACGAATTAATAATAATCACAAATAGTAAAATATAAAATACTGGCTATTTTTACGCGACTTCGCATGCGTAAATTATATTATAATCTATGACATCTGTGTATGGTGTAACTTCTGATAGGTGAAAGAACTTTCATAATCAGATCAGTATTTCCGATTCCCCCTCTACCCACCCCACACCACACACACACATAAACACACACACACAAACAAATAAACAGATAAAGTTGGAAACAAAACATCATTGTAATGTAATGTATTTAGAAAACATAAATGTGTGGTGTGAAATTAACTGATAGAATATTGGGCAACACAGCTGACTTACTGAAAACTACAAAGAGCATTATTCATTTGCTTGAACAAGAAAAAATAAAGAAATTTAAAGAGAGAAATTGCCTAGAAGCACTAAATAGACAACTTCAGATAACATTTATATTAATACTGTTTGCGGGCCCTCAAAAATGAAAAGCATTCATAGTGGTTAAGTTGGAGGAAGAAAACACGGAGTGTAGTACTGTAGCAGGTAACTGGGAAACAGGCATGCGTTACATGTATATTTATATACAATACAAAAGACATTTTTTTAACAGTGCACCATTTTTTTGAAGTTTAGATCATGTAATGATTTATTAACATATAAATATTATAGCAAAGTTTATTACTATATTCTATTACTGAGACACTAACCCAAGACATCAGAGATGGCAACATCTTAGAATTTAATTCATTTAACAACTGAATATTGGATATTTCCTATTAACATCTTATTCATAAACTTATTGTTAGTGCACCCAAAACACAAACTATCAAAAACATACAAGGCAATAATAGTATAAGTATAGAAATAGTTATGTTTTTCATCTTATTCTTGTGTATTATTTAATCGAGTATAATAAACTGCACATTATATAATCCTCACTTTTTATGTTCTAATATATCAATAATATTTTATTAAAAGTAATTGAGTAGGTAGTTTATAAAAAAAACTTACTGTCATTGTTTTATGTATTGTATGTTATTAAAACATAGGCAGATAATCCTGCAGATTATTGGGCTGTAAGTGTTTTCAACTCTATAAACAACTAATGCAAGGGAATTAAACTTATAACATCATAGTATATTTAGGAATATAATTTATATCTTTAATTACATGTAACAACAGAATTATGTTCAGGTAAACCCAAACTAAAATTATTTTCTTTATTTTAAGGTGTCACAGCAGTATTGGCACCTTTGGTCTGTTCAGTAATTAGTTCAGAGATAGAAAGTTGATTTATATTCTAAGCTTTATACATATTTCAAGCAATAACTACTATATTATTACTACATGCAAGGTATTTGTTTTTTCAGATTCAACAATCCTTTTTGTGATTTTATGCTTTAAGACATAAAACAAGATGTAAGTAATTACTATTTGCACTTAACAAGTGTCCAAATTCTATTAATTGTTTAAAAAATATCTTCACAAATATTCTTATTAGACATAAATGCCCATAGTAAATAATTATGTATGAATCAATGACAAGGTGTGGCTGTTTCTATTACACTACTTAATTGCTCTAATTTTGAGACAGGCAATAATAATATTTTGACTCTGTCCTTCTCTATACAAATTGAAAATAGTTGTTGTAACTTTAATGTTACAGAACTTAATGATCAGCAGAGATCACTTCCAAATTCTTTCTAGATTCTGTTATTCTATTTAGTTTTAATAATTCTCAATCAACACTACAGAGAAGGAAATTATGGTAAGATTATAATGATTCTTTAGATATTAGAATAAAAGGAACACACGGATTATCAATATTTTTTATTATAATAATATAACAAATAATATGATTAGACCGAATTACCTCCATATAGAAAAATACATTACTTTGAATATAAATATCATATTAATGAGATAGAGCTTTTAGAGGAATAGGGTAACAAAATATTTAATTACGTGTTAAAAGAGAAATATACTTACTTTTCGGTAAGATATTGTGACGTCCAGTACAAAACTTCACCGGGCAATTCCGATTCGGTTATACTGTATCCTGCAATGTGCACTGGTAGTTGGTCTTCGGGATTAACTGTGGCCGCAAAGTTCTCAAAAAACACTCTATATGCTGTTAAATAATCATCCTTATCGCCCATTTTTATAAAATAACTGGGTCACTTGTAAAAAATAACACAATCGATTATCAAATCTGCGATTAATTCCCTGATTCAAAATACAAATATATCAAAAACGAAACTAAATTAAAAGTAAGCACAGTTGCATTTATACTTAAATATAAAAATTTGCAATTTTATTGAGAGATTTTGTTTTTATTTTAAAGTGTTAAAAAATTATTTATTTATCAAACACACATCTCACTCATACTCGATTATGACACTTCTTTTCATGGCAGGTAATTTTCATACAAAAGAAACTAGACTTATGTCTATGGCTCATTTTTGACTTTGACAGTTCCCTGCTCCCTCCCTTCCGTAGACAGAGAAAACAATAGACTAATGGTATGTTCTATCTCATTCATCGGGAAATGAAATGACTTATTACAATTTTCATTAGTTAAAGTGAGACAAAAACATTATTTGTTGTCCTTATATACAATATACAAAAAAAGATGGAAAGAAGTGTATTTAAACAATGTTTTATATGATGTATAAAGTTTATATGTAAGAAACGTTACTTGCAAATTAAAATAATTTATTGAGTGCAGTGTTATATCTTGCCAAAATAAATCCGAAAGAAATATTGTAGGTGTATCATATTTCAGGTAAGTTAGAAGCATTTTGTTTATTTCTTCGTCAAGGTAAAATTTCTCATTGCCATAACCGACGTGAGTTTTATTAAATACGACACAAAACAAGCTAAAAATATTATTAAATAAGTTGATAAAGAATATAACCTCAAATCATTAATGCTGACATCTAAGTGCTTAAAATCTCCCCTCAAATTGCTTTAAAATTAAATTATCAATATTCTGTTAAACAAATATCAAAATATTTGGAACTCATTATATATTTTCTAAGTACATAGAACTACAAAATGTGATTGAAAAAACAATCGGGCAGTTTTTAAACTTTTCATTAAAATAAATCCAAGTTCGTAACCTAAAATATTAGCATTTAAAGCCTCTCAGTAAAGTTTTGCATGATTATATTAAAATATCGCTTAATTTACTGTAATGTAATGTTAAATTACATTTTCTAGACTTTATTGAATATCATCTTTATTTAGAATCACTAAAAATTGTGCTATGTATTTGGTTAGCAATGTTTGAGTTTATTGTAGATAATATAACTAATTTTATCAATAAATCTCGGCCAAATGTGTTTTTTCATCATAAAATATTGCTATTCTATATGACAATCAAATTATTATCATAATGATGACCTCAATTTTCCAAATTAAAATATGAAATTTAAAAAAAAAAGTGTTTTAGTAATTGTGTTTATATTTTAGATTTCCATCACATGAACATGAACTTCAAAATTGGATTGAAGCTTGTGGAAGACCAAATTGTAAGCCTTCAAGGCATGCCAGGTAGCTCGGTGGCGTAGTGAATAAGCGCCGCGGCCCGCGATCGTTGTCGTTAAGCAACTTTCGCAAGGGTCGGTCATGGGATGGGTGACCAAAAAATTATTATCTCGAGCTACTCCGTGCTTCGGAAGGCACGTTAAGCCGTTGGTCCCGGCTGCATTTGCAGTCGTTAATACCCTCCAATCCGCATTGGGCCAGCGTGGAGGGTCATGGCCCATCCTCCTTAACCATCCATAAGGAAGGCCTGAGCCCCTGCAGTGGGGACGTAAGAGGGCTGGTGATGAAGTCCACTTTTTATAATACCGTCCTCAAAGGGATATACACAATGTAACAATAAGAACGGTAAGTATAGAAAAGTCTGAAACTATAAGATATTGTATGTTAGTAGTAAGCAGTTAATACTTTGAAACACAATGCCTAAAATATATAAAAGCATTATCTTCATATCTTTTCAATTATTTTGCTGGTTTCACACAATATATTAATTAACCGTGTAAAACCTTTTTAGTTTGAGAATCCAACTTGACATTTTGAAAAATAAAATATACATAATTTATACTAGATACTGACAGTGTTATTACAAAAAAGATAAACACGCGTTGAACACGTGTTTAAAAATTGTTCTATTTGAGCATTGGTTAAGGCAAAACAACCCTTAAACATTGTTTAAAATTTAAACACATGTCATGTTGACACATGATATGTTGTTTATGAAGTATCTTACCTTTCACAATATTTCACTTTAGTTTTGACTTTCATAAGAATTATGTCTTTGAATTTAAATTAAAAATGATAATTTTAAATGAAATATTTTCATTTACAAAAATTATTAACTAGTGTGTTTAAAAGATATCATTTTACGTCTAAAATTTATTTTAAGTTTGTATAAAGCGTGCATAGAATTGAACGTGTATGAACGAATGAAAGATTGAAAGCCAGTAGTACAAATGTTTCTTTACTTAGACAATGTTTAAAAATGAATTTGTAATAGGGAAAATTAGACATCATTTTAAACAGGCTTTATATTCTTAAACAAAGTTTAGATAATCACATGGTAAAACACTGTTTAACGTCTCTTTTGTAATAACACTGATAGTCTAAGTTTTAAACTTTTAATGATATTATTAAATAAGAATTCCCTACATTAAAAATTTATCCTATATCTCTATACTTGCTTGGAAATTTTAAATATTACTATGTCAGTTTAAATATTTGATTTGTTCTTGGAGTTATAGTTTTTTTGCACTTGTTAGGAAATGTTTATTTACCATGCCATAATTGTTGTATAAAAATATGAGAAGTCGCAATTCGGTTATTAGTGTTATGTAGACAGAGCCACAGATCATATCCTTTATAAATATCATAACTTATTTGTGCCATAATCTAATCTTCAAATATTATCTGTTGCTATTCTTTTAGAAATACACTGATTATGATTTTGTTTGTATCTTTATAATAAAGAAATGCTAGAAAATATATTGTGAAATAGTATCAGTTATGTTTCTTTTTTTTTTAAGAATTCTTTTCTATGATTTAAGAGTATTGTAAGCTAACCAAAATATGTTTTTTTTTATTATTTTGTATAAAAATATAATAGTTATGTATCATTTTATTGTATATTAATATTCATTTTCATATTTTTAAAAATGTTTTGTGTGATTAGAATTCACTGTAACAAAGTAAATTGTGCTCTAATTTGTGATTGGATAACCAATTAAAAGCCAATTTTAATTTATAATAGTATGTATTTAGTATTTAAATTTTGTTTAATGGCTTTTAAATATATTTAACGTTAGAGTATTAATACTATTAAGCGAATACTCATTTAAACTAATTAAATCGAGATTTGAATTTTGTTTTGAAAAAACGGGAGATGAATAGCTATAAAAGGCCAATACAGCTCTTGCCACGGCCCCTTTTTTGTGTCACCCTTTGGTGTACTTTCTGCAGTTAAGTTGACAATTTATTTATTTTTTGTGATCATGTAAGTTTATTTTAACTTATAAGTAGCATAATTTCTATTTTCAATATGTGATTAATACATGTGATATATCTAATTATTTGTAATTTTTTTGTGGAAACGAAGTAAAATTTTATTTTATTTTAGTATCGTCTTTGATTTCACCCAACCTGTAACTTTATTTAATATTGGTTTAGTAATTAATAATTATTTTTATTATAAGTCATAGCTTTTTATGTCCTCTTAATAAATCTCACACACTCAAGAGCGTACATCGGCAGAATAGATTAAAATAAGTCTGCAGGTGTAATGATTTACACTAATTTTTTTATTAAAAAACCAAAAATTTTGAAAATTAACTTTCCTTTATTGTCTGGAGTCTGGGAGGTCTGGGTATTATGGTACCTTTGTTGTCACAGATACTCCAAAATACGGGGTTTAGTACTCCAAAATACACAACTTACAATATGAGCCATGTATGTGATGTTTTTGAATGTTTATTTAACTATACTTAATATTATAAAAATGAAAGATTTTATTGTTTATTTTTTACATCGAATCGGCTCCGAAACCACTGGACCGATTATTATATTTGATCAATCTCAAATTACCAGGAACAAAGTGGTTTTTTAAGCATTTTTATTAAGATTATTGAACCGATTTTAAAAACTCTTTCATATACGGGTAGCTACACCATACGCAGTTGACATAGGCTACAGTTTACACAAGCGAAGTCGCGTGAAAATAGCTGGTTCATAGATATTCTAGTTTGAGATAAGAAATCTTCTGGGAGTGGTACTAGAATTCGAGCGAAGTATCGTGGTTGACTAACGATAACCGTCAAGTCTCTATGAAATCGACCAGAATAGCGGATACGACGGCAGTGGTGCACAAACGCCCATACCTTGAAAACACTAATACGTGCTCTGCTAATACTGTCTTGAAGTAATGCAACCCAGAATCTGAGTAATTACTGATCAAAGTCAAATATCTCTGCAGGCTTACATATTTGTTTTCGATCAATAATTATTAAGATTCTGAATATCTTTTTATTAGTATTTCGTCACTAGACTAGACACATGAGACTCGAATATTCGATTGGATTAGTCAGAATGATAAAATACTTTGTGGTTACTAAGATATACGAAATATCAACATGAGTCAATAGTTTCGATGTTTTATTTCATTCTAAAATGACCTAAGGTTTTAAAAAAAATGATCTTTCTAATAGCTATTGAGTAAACATACAGTGGCGCTGCTGGACTGACGTTAGCCCAACATCATCACAATGTTTCTTATTTGCCTTTCTAAACATAATTTTATCATTGAATAGGTACGTTATTCTCCTTTAAACGGCTTCCTTTATTGTCTATATACATTTTTATAAAATTTTGGTTTTATTAAATTTTCAAAATAGTTTTGTTTGTCTAAATTAGACTTTTTTGAGCATATTCTAATTTAGTCAAACTTAATTTTATTTAGAAAACTACAGTAACCAAGCCCATTGATTCAATGTGCTAGTTAATTTAAGATGATAGATAGTGTATCAATATTTCTACAATAAAAAAATGTTCCTCTATTACTAATTCTTTCACCCATGGGAAGTTACAGCATATGTGGGTGACTACAGCTATAATTTGGTGAAATCGCAGAAAAGTAGATAGTTTCTGAATATTTCTACAAATTATGTTGACCAAATTATTCCTCCTTTGCTAATAATAAAATATCTCCCCATAATCGAGGAACATTTAACTACCTAGTAACACTGATGATTTATTTGTTGTCCCTTACGGTAAGACGCCTAATAGACCTCTACTAAGTACTTACTCTAAGCTCCCTTCACTTACTTATCCGAAAACGTAAGTTAATATTTGTCCAAAGTGTAGTATCAATATGGGTATTTGTCTATGAAGTCTGCGATCAACATTATGTATTGTTAATCGAAACAATATGTATTGTTGATCGAAGTAACATATAAAAAAACTGAAATTTGAAAAGTTCAAAACTTGGATATCTATACAAATGCGCAAAAGTACAAATAGACTATGAGTTGTTTATTGAGTTTTGAAAATTGATTTACTTTTATACATGACAGAAAACTGGTAGGGTTGTCATGGAGAAATCAAGAACATCTAGTTTGATTTCGGGAACTAATGTTTTATTTTAAATACTAAGGTTATTTTAGTTTAAATTTTAAATAACGATAATTTTTTATAATGGCAAGATGAAAGAGCGAGACACATAATCTCCGTTATGACTATCTTTCTCTGCTCGGATTAGCTTCTGTACAGAGAGCAATTAAAAATATGCTTAAGTTTGTTATGATAAGGTTTATTTTTGAAATTACAATTTGACAATGAATTGAATGGTCTTTTGGTGTAAATCACAAAATGGTCTAGTTTTAGTTCGTTTGTTGCATTAAGTTGGCTTTCTCTATCCTTATCTTAAAAGTACGTGATTGATTATAAATGTTATAATTAGATTGTCCAAGCTGATAAATATAATGTTATCGATTGTAATAAAATATCTACTTAAGTGATTGATTCTTGATAAATAGTCCATTTAGCGCAGTTCTTTGAGTGCCACAAAATATATTCTAATAGACGAGTTTAATTCTCTAAGTGTAGTAGAAAAATGCCTTCAATAGCAGGAAAATATAAACATTATAAAAACGAAAATATTGACGATTACTTCATTGCGGTTGGTAAGTACGATATTTGTATTTATGTTTCTTTTGTTCATATTTATTAAAAACCTTTAATTTATTCATTTTATCCTAATTATAGGTGTTCCATATATGGGACGAAAAATGATGTCCATGTCATCACCAGAAATGGAGATTATAATAAATGGAGAAACCATGACCATAAGGAATGTTTCACTTCTTAGAACTGTTGAATACACTTTCAAACTTGGTGAAGAATATGAAGAAACTATGCCAAACACTGTAATCAAGGTACTTAGTTATGATATCATTTACTACTAATCTAACTATAAATAATGCATAATTATGATGTTGAACTCTTGTTCTTAATAGTTTTATTATATGTAACTGTAATTATTCCAGAGCATTACTACAATCATCAATGACAATGAACTGGAAACAAAATCTATTATTCCTGAAAATGGAACTAAATGTGGCCGTCATTACTTGTTTTCAGATGATGAGTGCATTATTGTAAGTTAATTTTAATTATTAATTTATTAGTAAATTAAGTCCAAATTAAAACATTATAATAAGTTTTGTGTTATATTATTATCTAACATTCCTTATTTAATGTTTTCAGACTCTCACTCATGACAATGCTAAAACACCAGGGAAACGATACTTCCGCAGAATAAATTAGGTTTCGATCGAAACAAAGAAGAACTGGTGTGTCATGGACAAGCACAAGTTTGTAGATATTGCTACAAAGAAATGTGTAAAAAATCACAATTTAGTAGTTTATTTCAGAAAATATTAAGAGCTATTAAACCAGCTTGGATTCCAGTGAATTCCAAGACAAAATTTGAATAAACACCACAAATATTTGAAATGACTTTTGTGGCTGTACTTTGCTTTAATTAGCTAAAGTATAACATGCTGTCTTTCACATTTAATATATAAAAGTGATCTATAAAATAATGAAAATTAATTTCCGTTTTGTATGTTATAGGTAGAATTACTGGGTTTAAGAACAAGTGATTTTCATTTTTCTTGTGTCTTTAAATATTTCTGATTCACCAGTGTAGTCAATACTTCCATAGTCTACAAATGCAAAATGTATAAGAAGGTAGCAAAATAAAAATTTATAATATAAAAACTGTTAACAAAAATGTAATATAAAATAATTGAGACATTACATTAGGTTAAAAAAAAAACTTTATTTATACTCTGTGAAGGCTGAACATTTGATGTTAATTTTACATGTAATGTTATTATTTTAAAATAAATTTATTTATATTTTTATATAAATTGTTTACTTTTTTATGGAATCCATTCTTACTTTCAGTTAGCACTCTGCATTTAGGTACAGCTCGGTGGCGTAGTGGATAAGAGCCGCGGCCCACAATCGTTGTCGTTAAGCAACTTTCGCTAGGGTTTTTTCAACTAACGGGATGGGTGACCAAAAAATTATTATCTCGAGCTACTCCGTGCTTCGGAAGGCACGTTAAACCGTTTGTCCCGGCTGCATTTGCAGTCGTTAATACCCTCCAATTCGCATTGGGCCAGCGTGGAGGGTCATGACCCATCCTCCTTAACCATCCATAAGGAAAACAATCTTTATTCAAATAGACTTCTTAAAAGTCATTTTGAATCATCCAACATTTTTTTCCCTACCATTCGTTTAGGACGTCTTTTGGCTGATAAGAATGAGCGAGAAACTTACCAGATCTAAAAAAGAGAAAAAAAAACTATGGTCTTATAATTATAACATAATAATTTAATAACAAAGGAAACCAAGATAATTTTTGATATACCTATAATGAGTTAAGAAGAAATCACCTATCCAGTTGCTGGATCATCTTAAGTCCAAACATTCTTATCTGTTATATTATTGCATACCTTATAATAAGCTTTTTCAATAGTAGATTTAAACTGCATAATATCTAATTGTATTTTGCTTGGGACTTTATTGTAGAAGCGCACTCAGATCCCTGGCTGAGTTACTATACTAACTGCTAACTTTTTGCAGTCTAGTGATAAGCGCCGTTAATTTATTATTGAATAAATTAATTAATTAAATTAAAATAAGTCGAATATAGTCTCATATAATTACATATAATTATGACCAAATTATCATGTGATAAAACATAGAACCAATGCGTAACGCCTGCCCAATTATATCAGCAAATAGTAGGTAAACTTGCTTGTTTTTATAATCATAGCAAAAACCCGAGATATTGCTGCTATTGTGTTTTCCTTGCCTCGACTGTAAATTATATCATATTTAAATCATGAATATTAGAATGCTAACCTGCACCGTAATTTTTTTTCCGATTCCGATACTGATTTCCGATATTAGACTTATATCGGAAAGAGGAGGTATTTAAAAAAAAAAATTCTTGAAAGCAAAACTAGATGATGGCGATTGATTTATAGCGACATCTAATTAATCGCTCTGACATCGCCACAACTTGTAAAAAAAACAAAATTGCAGGAAACGGATGCACCAAAGAGTCATTTCCGTTCTTTTTAAGTAACATTATTAAAAAAAATATATTTGCAAAGTTCGATACTTAGATATCAATACAAATACGAAAAAGTACAAAAAGAATTTGAGTTGTTTATCGAGTTTTTAAAATTAATTTACTTTTATACATGAAATGAAATATATTTTCTTTATTCGCTCGTTGAACTTGCTTTGGATAGACGTGTTATGGGTTTTTTACAAATTATTTACTACTAACTGTGCTAACAATTATAACTCTCAGGAGAAGGTCATAATAGCTAAAACTATACAACAATTAATTTTTACTACTATAAAAGAGTAAGTTGCCGGCAGAAGTGGGACACATTCCGCTCTCAGCTTTCGTTGCGCGCCCCCGTGCGCGTACACGACTCTCTTGTACCCAAACTGTGAGTACATCTCGTGCCTTCTGCACACCCCGAGCTCAGGCTCTGCTGCTTTTGTTTTTTTCAAAACATTAAAACAGTAGGACTTGACTCAATATCCACTTCTTGAGTCGGTGGATACCATACGGTGGCAACTAAGCCGGCTGAGCGATCCCGGTGCGCTCGCTAAGGCCCCTCAAGCTTTAGCAACACCGAAGACCCGATCCCAGTGCACTTGGGCCTTGTCCCAAGGGTGAAGGTTTGCCGCAAACTCCATTAGGGATAGTCGCATTTTTCCGCGTCCCCCTTCCCCCCTCGCTTCGGCGCGGGGTTGGTCTTTTTGCACACTCACCCTATCTCCCTCTAACCTACCAAGGTAGGTGTGACGGAGAGAAGTGCGAGTGAAAAACAACTACTCCTCTCTCTCTCTTGCATTTAACGGTTTGCATTGCCGACATGTCCGATTTGCTCAATAAAGAATACTCCCTCGAGGATATACAACGTATCCTACCCGATCACCTCTTTCCAGATGTCAAAATCCCAGGCATCGCCGCCCCCCTCAACTTCCGTCATTTCCCAAACCTCCCACAATCCATCCTTTGGCCGACCTGGACCTCCTTACGAGACCCAGTAGGCCAATTCCACTCCCATCATACTGACCCTTCAGTTCAACCCTCTCTGCCCTCTCGACCTGACATCCACTCAGGATGCAGGCCACACAAATTGTTACGGGCATCAAATAGCACCCTTCTGGTGGTATGTAATGCTTCCCCCCCCCGCCCTCCACACCCTTCAGGTCATACCCCTGTCCGATCTGACTGATCGCTCCCCTTCAGGGAATCAGCTGTATTGCAATCCGATGTGCCGAGCCCCCCCGGGACTAACGGCTAACATCTCGATGTCACAATTCACGTAGGTGAATAGTGACGTCTGCGCCGCCGCCCCCTCCCCCCCCCTTGCGGGGGGCGGTCGAAGGTTCGTTGCCTCCGGGCATGTAACCAGCTGTCCAAGGCGGTGTTTAGTCAGTAGGAGTCTGACATAACCTCACAGCCGGCTGTGTGGTATCCAATGAAGGATTCACCGCCTCCTTCCCCCGTTGGGAGGGTGGTTCCGAACCCTTAAGGTTGAGAGCCGAAAAAAAAAAGCAGAAGTGGCATCAGTTCGGACCCCAATCTGAGTAAACTCATTAAAACAGGAAGTATAACAACTCGGAAGCGTAAGCATAGTGATGAATTCCTTGAGGCCTTTTATAACTTTACTTCTGAAATCATGGATACACTGAATAATTAGAAGGCTGAAATATATAGTGATATCTTTGAAATGAAAACTAACTTTGAATCAGTATAGAAAAGTGATATGGAAAAATTAAACGATACATTTACTACAGTTAAGTCCGATATTAACAGTGTACGTTAATATCGTACGTTATCGTATGTACGTTAATACGAAGTATCGAGATATAAAGAAATCGATGCAATCACTGGATTCCAAACAAAAGGAAAAATTGGCAAAGGTTAATGATCTGGAGAACTCGGTGCAATTCAATAATGATCAGTACGAGTGTGCCAATAAGAAGATTGAGTTATTTTATTAACACTTCCACCATTATGGTTCCTAGATAGTTAAAGACATAACTAACAAAAACTTTACTTTAGTCAGCTTCTTCTTCTCTTATTAATGGACCTATTTGTCACATTTCAGATTTATTGCTTTTGTTTGAAACTTCTATGGTTTGAAATGAAAGGAGAAAATTTAAAAATCCCTATATGATTGTCTATGTTCATAGACATAAACTATGGCCAGTATTTATGTATTATCTATGCAGTAAAGTGACGTCAATATTACTTTTCGCTAGTCTGTACTTTTCCCTATGAGTGACGTTGACGGCACCGAATTTTAAATTATTATTGTTTTGTGTAGAGGCAAAAACTACTGATAAATAGTATTTATTTATAAAAGAAATTAAAAACCCGTAATCACATAACGAAAATGGCAGATCTTGCTCCTCAAGATCAGGTATCTAATATTAATGTGATGAAAAAAATATTTGAATACCTTCATAATATACCTATGGTCCTCAACGAATCTGTAGGAACAAATGCAGTATTGTAATTCTATTTAAGTTAATCGATTTTATAAATTGTAACTAATTATTACAGGAACAACAAGTAAAAAAACTGAAAAGGCTTCTCGAGGGATGGCGCATGGCTTTGATACCACTAAAATCTGTCATTTTATGGGAACAGCAATGGCACCCTTGTGCTATTATCGGCAGTATAAGTTTCCTGTACATTGTTATCTGGCTTCTAGATCTTAATTCTCTAGCAACAGTGGCTGTATTGGGCCTCATTTTCAACTTCATTGATTTCATAGTACCTGTTGTAAGCAACTCTTTGTATGGTCCAAGTGCATGGACTGGACAGAAAGAAAAGATGTTTGAAGAGATTTGCAGGAGTATTATCATACAATACAATAAACTTATGCAACAGATGTGGTCATTTTATTCATTGAGGGATACAAGCCCTTGTATGGTAAGACTTTTTAAACTATTATATTAAATTTTTTTTTTATGTGTTACTCATTTCATATTTTGTTTCCAGTATTACATAATTTCCATTGGAATGCTGTGCACCTTGGCATGGGTGGCTTCTACCATAAATAATATCTTCCTACTCTATGTTTTATCAGTGGTGATGCTGATGTGGCCCGGGGTCCAACACAGAGGAGCTTTAAATTCTTTACTGTCGCTAATTAATATGGCACCAAAAATGATTAAATCTGAGTAGAATTTCTATGCATCTATGTTTTAAGTTTCTTTTTAATCATGTGATGAGTCTGGTCAGTAGGTAAGATTTTAAGTTTTAAATAAGTTTATTTTAATGAGCTTTAAAGTGGTGTAGCATTATCATTGGTTAAATTAAAATTGTGTATCTTAAATTATTTCATTTTTTATCTTACCTAAACTACACATCCTGGTGTAATTATACACAAATTTCAAATCCCTGTCTGCTGATACAATTAGTTAAGCATTACACATTTAACTTTGATATATAAATCATTCAGGTTCCAATTTTTATCATTTTTTCATTCGCCTAAATCTATGTTTCTTATGTAAGAATTCTGTACAAAATTATGAAACTTTGTGTGGATTTATTAACCTGGTGTACTTCATATTACCTCTCACCATTTAAACCTTTCCTGGACTGCAATAAACATTTCAAAACCAAAATCCAATAAACCAGTCTCACCATTCTATACTCCATTCATTATAACATTAGAAAAAAAGAGGGTCATAGAAGCAGCAGTACAGAACATTTTATTTTCAAGATAAATTTTATAAATATATTCATTCGTTTTTTAAATTATATGTTAGGTAATCTGAAAGAGCTGGGCAATTTTCCATTTTTACGATATCTCGAGCTTGAGATGAGGCCAGCATTTTATAAATTCATCTTTTACTCCTAAGCCAACATGGAACTAAAACTGAAAATATATGTCTGTTGTTTTGATAAATTCTAATTGTAAGTGTAATTAGTTAGACTATTGATGAAGAAAAACTGGACGACGCCTGCACCGGCATCGTCCATATTTACCAAAACTAAACAACAAAAACAAAACAAAAATAAAACAATAACAACTTAATCTCCTCTTCTCTTCTCTATATTTATTAATTCCATAACTGATTTGCTTTCTTGTTCCTATCACCTATATGCAGATGACCTTCAAATTTATACTCAAACGCCATTTTCGCACTTATCAGAGGCAGTCTCAGTAATAAACTCTGACCTGTCTCGCATTAGTAAATGGAGTGATTCATACGGTCTTACTGTGAACCCTCTAAAACTCAACTGATTCTAATTGGCAGTTCTCATTTCACTTCTAGGGTTAGTCCTGAGTTACTACCTTCAGTAATTTTTAACGGTATTGTGATTCCCTATTCAAAAACTGTTAGGAACCTTGGCGTCATCTTCGATCAAAATCTTTCCTGGAAGCCGCAAGTAGAGGCCGTTAGAAAAAAGGTATTTGCCACGTACTATTCACTTAATAGACTACGCAACTTTTTGCCTACTAGTACTAAAGTCTCTTTAGCTCATTCGTTATTGTTATCGATCATAGACTACGCTGATGTTTGCTACACGGATCTATCAGAGGAACTTCTCAATAAATTAGAGCGTCTACAGAATATTTGTATCCGATTCATTTTCAACCTTCGTAAATTTGACCATGTGTCGAATTTTCGTTCCAGATTATCTTGGCTCCCTATTCGCCGGCGCAGGGACTTACACACTTTAAAGTTACTATATTCTATACTTTTCCTACCTTCCTCTCCACAGTATCTCAAACAATGTTTCTCTTTTCGTTCTTCTTCGTCACTGAGTTCCTTGCGATCCTCATCCAACCTCACTTTGGACATCCCGCGTCATAGTTCCGATTTCTTCTCCTATTCCTTTTCTGTACATGCTGTGCGTTTATGGAATTCTCTCCCGGACGATGTCAGGCACACTCGCTCACTTAATTCTTTCGGCGATCGAGTTGAAAGCTATTTCCTTTCTCTCTGTTAATTGCACCCAATACCCCATATTTTCCCTTTCCTTTTATTATTCTCTTCCATAGGTTGCCTGGAAGAGATTGCTGTTTAGCAATAAGGCCGCCTTTTGTGTACTTTGTATTGTTTTACTGTGTGATTTCTTTCTGTTTTCCTGTCTGTATGTGTGCAATAAAGATTATATTATTATTATTATTAATCACGAAAAACGGCAAAACAACAAGAAAGGCAGTAGCATTCACAATGGATGACAATCCCAGATTACGGTTTTAACAATTATGAATAAATAATAGTCTGACAAAATTAAAAAGCTGTACTGCGGAAACGTTTGAAGGGGTTAGGCAACGCTTTAAATTTGATAGTTATAGTGACACGAGAATCGTGCCTAAACTATCAAACCCTGCTTCTTTAGGTTCTTTACGATGACCACTTTTTATTATAATAGTTATTAAATCATTTAAGTTAGTCATATACTAATAAATTTGTTTAATAGATAGCTTAAATGACAACAGTTAAAGTATAGCATTTGATATTTAAGTGGATATGTAGCAAATTAGCCGTCAATCTTAAAAGTAACATGGTTATTGATATTTTGTCACTAAGTATACCATAAAAAGAACCTTATTTAACTTCTGTCTAATGCTATAATGAATGGAGTATAGAATTTTAGAGAGACAAACTAACAACAATTGAGTTTTATATATGTAGATTTAGACCCTTTAGTTATAGGAATCAAACAACAAATAATCAGAATATAATTTATTATGTAGGTAACAGATTCTTAAACTAATTCTTGAAAATTACCTAGTCAACATTTTTTTTGAAACACTATTTTCATTAGGAAATTAGACAATGATGAATACTAATCTATTTCATTTACTATAATATACATATTTAAAAGAATAGCTATATTGAAATTGTTTTTTTTAACATACAACAAAATTGCCATGGTTTGACACAAAATAGTTAACAACTTCATTAGTATTGCATAAAATGTATCAGGTGAACTTTATTTGTGATTGATTTCTACTTAATACACTGTTGATACATTAATATACACGTAAAATAAAGACGATCAAAATTAGAAGTAGGCATATATATATAAAAATACAAAATGTTATTGCTAATGTCACTGATTTATTATCTACCTACTTGCCGCTCTCTTCAGAAATCGTAAAGCCTGGCTTCACAGTCGTATTATTTGCTTTCGTAACTAATGGCTCATTAGGGTCGATTTCTGCTAAATCGAGGAAATTATTATTTGACTTACTCGATGTGCTCGGAGTAATTAACATTTCTTCAGAAACCAGGGTAGTCGTAAATCTACTGCCGACGACTGCGGCTTGTGCATTAAGGTTACTTTTCTGCGTAGTGTTATCGCTATATCGTCTGGTGCCATTATTCAGCGTCTCATCTTTCATATATTTACATTTGGAGCCATTTTTATTCTGGACATTTTGTGAATCCATATCATAAAAATTCATCGTGTCGCCTTTGACACATTTATTAATATCTGTATTAATATTATAGTTTTTACTACTGGATGGTATGTCTTTGTAAAATGTCTCTTTAGTCAGTTGTGCGTTGAGTCCATAAAAATCAGGTGCGGTACTCATAGATAGTGCATAGCAATCGCTTTTGATAGAGGACGGTCCCGCCAGTGTGAGTGGACTGAGGTCGTTTTTCACTACTTTCAATGGAACTTCACCGGGGTCGGCTGACAGAGTCTCCTCGTCATCTTCGCCCTCGGCACTCTGTTAAAATAAAAAAAAACTAAAAACCTATTTAATAACGCGCTAATCTAATTATTAAGAGAACAGATTTAATACTTTGTATTGAATAGGCTCCAAAACTACTTATCTAAGTGAAGCTATGTTATACGTTTGTGTCATAGGCTATAATTTACGCGGGCGAAGTCCCGGGAAATATAGAATAATTATAGTCAATCGACGGGCACGTTAAGGCAATCGCGAAGGGAGCGCTGTGGAAAGATAAGGTCTTGAGCACATTTAGCCCAAACTACCTCACACTTTGGATACGCCTGTAAGCAGTGCTATTTTAATAAGGATATTGATGGTTATATACCTATTATGTGTAAAAGTTCCCTATGTATTATCTTATATTAATCGTACTATCGTAAAGATAAAATAGATTAATAGCAACTTGCACAAATGTCCATTAAATTTTCCATTTAATATAAAGCGACATTATCAATACAAATTCGACATTCGTTAGAGCTTAAGGGCGTCATTAAACCTTATTGGACGTTTGTGCTACTGACCGTAAGTTAAAAGTTAATTAAACATATTATAACCTTACAACTAATATCTAGACAAGAGAGTTAAGTTTTTACGCTGTGATAGTAATTTTGTTATGTACCAATACCAACTTAAAATAAAACTGACGTTAGTTCACATACATCAGACGATTGTCGATTATGTATGTACCACGGGTTGTACTCACAAGAAGGTCGTGGTCCGTGATGGATCCAGCGGTGGCCTCATTGCTATTGAACTCCAGCTCCGAGGCCAACGATACTGGCGTCAAATCGCCACTAATAGATGAACCTGGCGACGCATACGTGCACCTTATTAATATCAAGCATTAATGCTACATTACCTAATGATTTCGTTGTAGAGATTTACAAAAAATGGGCAAATCTTAAATTGTAACCATAAGACTGAAATGATCAATCGTAAGTATCTATTTTTTTACGGTTTTTGGACAGTAAAACTCGACCGTGTTGACTTAAAATTTATCAATACTGGAGTTTTTATTACATTTTATTCTGTACTGGAGTTTTAATACAGTTTTTCTTGGAACGGACATCGCTAACATGGTTCCTTATAGTTTTAGATTTTCACATAATAAAAATCGACCTTTAACGTATATGTTTCTAACTTAACCTTTTAAATTCAGTAGATTAAAATCCCAAATGCTAAATCGGGTCGTCCGTTCGACGATAGGTTCATTTACACGGTCCGATGGCTTTCGCATTGGATACTGGCCATTTATGTGGTACATTTTTATTGGTTGAATATTGTTTTTTCGACAATGTAATGAGTGCATACAATTTTAGTTTTATTATTCATACGCTACATATATTATTATTATCAATTAACAATATAATAAATACCATTACAAATTTTGTTATCATTTATAAAAGAAGTCAGTAAAATAATAATGTATACTGGGTTCAATTAGACTGCAATGCAAATTTACATTAGAAATATAAAACGCACAACGATTTGACTATAATGTATAAGGCAGGGCTTCCCAAACTTATTTTTTTGTGACTCTCTTGGGTCTTTGCCATTTTTTTACGACGCCCCTCAACGCAGTCCCCAAAAATACTAACCAGTTTTTGTATGTACTAACCTAGTAACAGGTTATCAGGTAGACACGAATTTGACTTTTATATTTTTTAATATATGAAAACAAATTCAAAACATAAGTCATAAGCATAAAAAAAAGAGCTGTAACTAACTGGCTGGCTCTAATAAGATGGACGTGCTTGCTTTTCTGAGCATAGTTTCTTAAAACGGGGCTTCAGGTAAGTAAGCCCAGTCGTATTGCTCCAGATTATCGAAAAAATATTTTTCAAAGTGTTCGCTTAGTGAGAGCAAGTGCTGTGTAAACATTATTTTTAAGGAAGGATCAAGGATTTTTATCGATTATTCTAGTAGAATACTTTGTAAAGCAACAAAGTATTCTACTAGAATCATCGATAAAACAGTCAATTACTTGATCTTCTAATTTTCTCTTCCATAAGTGTAACTAATTTTAACCCAGTAATTTTATCTGCCAATTGCAGGATGTGAGTATTGTTTCCCTGCAAACACTTATTAAGATCATTTAATTTGTTAAATATGTCACATATGTCTGCGTTTGCGTCGCGTTGACAGTATGCATGCGGCGATCACTTGACTTAGTCGCATCGATATATCAACACGCGACGCCCCTGGGCCATTGCCGTGACGCCCCAGGGCGTCGCGACGCACAGTTAGGGAAGCCCTGGTATAAGGAATAGGTGGAACGTATACGGTTTCTGATTCTGGTGCATAGAATTAGTTCAATAGTGAGTTAGTAGGAAGAAAAAAATGGACTTCTACTGAAAATTCCAAGTTTAGTTAAACTCGCATGCAAGAACAAATAAACTAGCGTAAAGAAAGATGCTATTTAAGGATAGGAACATAAAAGGAGTTTTGTCATGCAAAAATACCCACTAAATTATAAAAAAATATATATATCTACAGTTTTTATGTCTATTACATATATTCGAAATATCGAAAATGTACAGTGGTTTGGCCTTTTATAAACAATCTGATATTCTGCCATGTGTATTTATTACTAAACAATTTACCTTCAATTTCATACTCAAAAAAGTTAAAATAAAATTAAACAGGATAAATATTATTGATAAGTGGCAGTGCAATATCCATAAAATTAAGGATAGGCTACATTTTACTCTCCGATGGCGTTAGTAATTTTCTTTGCAATTATAATAATTTTTAATATCCCTATTTGTTGCTGCATGCATATTTACATTTTCCATCCTTACTTAACGTATTTCTGCTTATAAGTGTGAGGTATATAGCACGAGTGGTGTGAAATATAGTATACAGTATATGACGCGAAAGTGACTGCTTAATGAAGGTTGAGCAATAGATTATAGCTACAATAAAAATATAAAATAGACCTATAAACAGGAACTGTATAAATATTGGTGCGACATGTGAAGAAATTTTACAATGCACAGTCGACTGTATTAGAGTCTAGAAAGGCCATTTCTCTATTAGGCTCTTTACACGAGAATAAATTACCCAGTATTTAGAACCCAGTTTGATAGCCATTGCTCAGTAATACGCGAATAGTTCATCAGAATAACATAAAATCAGAAAACAAGCTAAGCACAGATTGTTGTAACAGTTGCCCGATGTCAATGAAACAACGACTTTATCTCAATTGAAATAGAGATAAAAAGAAACCAAATACTCTTAGGATAGTTAGTGAAATGATTACTTTACCATGATAATATAAAGAAGAAACACAATAAGAAGTGAAGGTTCGAGCAGCTCTGCCTAGTTCGAGTAGAGCTTTGAGACACATTAACCCATATATGTCCACAGCTACCGCTTTATTTTTCTTATAACGCTTTGACAACAAAAGTCATTTCATCATACATTTCACGAAAAATGAACTTTAAGGTAGTGAATCAGTGCAAGTTTCACAACTTGGTTTCAGGGTGCACATAAGACCTATTAGCGTAAGCATTCCAAAATTCATAAGAGTCCAAAGTCAAAATAGTTCTGTCCACAGAGGAGTATTGGTTGTTTTTGAACGAGGGGCATATATGGGTTAAGAGCGTATTATCACAATATACATGCAGTAGCACAACTTGAACCATTTCTGGACATAAATACCTACGCTTCATTGAATCGTTAAGTTTGCCTCCTTATTAAAACTAGAAAGTAATCAACAGTGGTCGGAATTAGGTAGAGTTATTCATGTACTTACACTGATTTCATACAGCGAAAGAATAAAGTGGATATGCCTCAAATCCCGAGATTAATTTTAAAGAGCAGAAAAAATCCCGTGATTTTTTAAATAAAAAGTTATTTACTTTTACACAATTTAAACTACTGCACGCACGACGTTGCCGAACTTACATCAATGAAAGAAAGAAATAAAGAAATCCCGGGAAGGTCCACATTATTATCAACATTTCGATGCAAGTACATAAATAACTCTACCTAATTCCGATCTCTGGTAATTAAACAACATTAACAGTTTATATACTGAAAAGTAAAATTATAAAAACTTTACATATGATAGTAAATTTTATGTTGGATGGTGAATTTTAAATGCTTTTCTATCTTTTGTTTATATGTAAAGGTTTTAAAGACGCCGATTTAATCACCCGTATATGAGACAATAATTTCGTGGTATTTTTATTCAGATTGCGCATTACCGTGTGTCACACACACACAACTGATAGTTTTGCCGTAGCAAACGCAACTAAAAGCACCGCGCTTAGGGTCTTTATAAATGCGTGTCTGTGAGCACCAGAATTCGACCGTTCGTTCCTAGTTGCGCTACTGGATGTACTGTGGTTTAATCCCCGCAAATTGCCAATGCACCTGGCGGCCATTTTGCTGACGTAATTGTGTTCAACAATCAGTACCGTTATCAAATAATCAGTGACTGACGAATACACTTATTGAGTTGGGTTCTATTGAGATCACGTACAATTATCGATATATTTTGTCGTTTTCAATTGTTATTATTAAGTTTTGTTGTTACTTGTTACTGTTGACTAAAATAGCAACTGATACTATGATTTCCACAGTAAGTAAACATGATTTCATTAAAAATATATACATCTAATGTCCCTCATTTCCTAATTACTTATGTGCGACTTTTAATCACAAATGTGATTATTAATAAATATTTCAGTAATTAATAGAACATTTATCTCTTGCATTTTCTGCTATCGGTACTTTCTATTTTCTAATGACGTCACGCGGGTGTCATATAGACAAGGTAACAGCGTATTAGCAATTTGCGGGACTAATATTATGTATGTACCGCAGTGTATACCTGCTAATGTGTTGTGCGGCATGAATGGATGCAGGCTTGCGTCGTACGCGCACAATGTGGCCGCCTCACCGTCCCACTGAGGGAGTTTGCTCGGCACATTTTTACTCCAATTGCTACTGGAATCAACCGTTCAGTTACCGGCCCAGAGACCAGAATACGTTCTCTTTGACCAATGCATTAAGCGAAACTTTTTTACCCCCCACCTTCACACAAGCGCAGAAATAATGTGAATTGATTTTGTTTTTTACTAACATTATTATACCCTAATAAATGGGATTTAAATAATATTATCTATCTATGTGTTTTAGTGAATATATACGTTTGACATAGTAAAAAAAATTATAAAAACGCCTTACCGTTTAATTTTTGCGTATTTAATCAAAATGGCGATTAGTTACATCACAACAAAACCAGTTAAAAATGTAGGCATAATATACAGGGCGGCACATATATTGCTACTTGTGTGAAAGATGATTGTAAGTCATGATAAAACTATGAATAGAATTTGCAAGATGGCGCTCAGACTTAAGAATTGTCTAACTAAAAGACCAATAGAGCGCGTTCACAGAGACATTTACACGGTATTTTACATAGCATTTACTTTGTAAAAGTGGATAAGACAACAAAGCAATAGTTTGTGCAAGTAGTTTATAAAACAGTAGCATATAAACATCTTCAAATATATATAGCACCTGATTATTTGGATAGCTGTGACCAAATATAAGAAGTAGATTGCATCTTAAACTAAATGCTTCTGGAATATGAATTTTTATTACAATATTTGCTAGATATTTTTATTACAAGATAATTTTTATTACAAGAGGATAATGCGCTTTAATCAAAATACGGGACTAATGATTGTTTATTCTTTGTTGTCTATTTTAGTTTAATGAGAAGAAAAAAAAATACTTGTCGAGCTATTAAAAATAAGACTAGGGAAACACGAACCGAACACATTTAGAAAAAGAAAGCAGCATGTAGAGACAAACAAAATGATTTATCAATTATTCTATCAAACTAGCTATTTAAGTTTTAATTGAACGAAGCCTCAACTAAGCCTATGAGAAAGAAATGTAAACATTACACTTTATTCTATGTAAGGCTTGCACAACATGGATCTAATTGGAATTTCTTTTTTGAACTCGTGTCTTATACTTTACATTTTGTCTCAATTTTCAAGCGGACAGGACATTGTTCAAAGGCACGTGATAGCTAGTTAAAAAGAATAATTTCATAGAAAAGCCGCTAATGCATAAAAATGAAGTTTAATTCACCAATGGTTGTTAGTGGACCATTTCAGTATGATATTGTAAAATTTAAAAACCACACAAAATATAAATAAGCTGTTTCAAATCAATGTACAGTATGAGATAGATAACTTTGCGACTATGAAGATAGTCACTCATAGAAACGTCACACAACGCGATTTTTAGGTACGAGCGAGGTTGCAAGTTTGCTTACAAGACTCCGAAAGCGAACTTTCGTCTATTTTAGAAATGCTTATAAGACTCCAAATTTATGATTACAAACTTTTCTATAATTTATGATTACACACAGACAATCTTCACGGATACGATTATAACAAAATTACAAGAATGATCCGACATTTTTCGGAATTTCGTTCGGGGGCAAATACAAAAGGCCCTCAAGTATCACGTTAATTAGTAAGACTAATAACTAACTTCATAGCAGCAAAGTTAGATGAATGTACTGTACATTAGATGATATGTTGGTATAATCATAATTTTAATTTCCTGTTATTGATAATGATGATAGAACAGAAGATGTACTTATAATATTCCAGTCCTTTAATGTGTTATGTATTGGTTTACTGTACGTAAGGTCTCCCGCCGTAGATTTACGAACAATCCAAGACTGAATAAATAATTTTGATTTGATTTGATACGTACTCGTAGGCAGGTTGTGTATCCCTGTCAGAGCTCTTATTGTGATCCGAAGCGTAGTTGGAATTAGGTGAGGAAGGTCCGGCAGAAGACAATCCGCTGGGCAACTCGCCAGAAGAAGACATGAGTGACGACGGCCCACTCCATCCAACACCTATATATTAAAGTTAATATTACTTCAACTTAGACCACAGACGTATGGTCACGTTCAAACTAGTGATGTGTGAGGTGCTGGATTATAAACATTTTTATATCCGATCTGAATACGGATATTTGGTGTCAAGATTCGCGAATACGAATATACGGGACATCACTTGCTCAAACTATAATCATTTCAGAATCGTAGCAGTCTATTTATGTTCCAACTGTTCGGGCACATGTCTTCCCTTTGGATGGAACTATTCCACTGTGCGACCAATGGGCACTGGTGGGTCTTAACTACAGCATTTGCAACCAGGACCTACAGACTATTTCACGTATGAGCGATCTTTATTATTTATCTTATTTAACGTCCTATTATAAAATGGTAACTAGGTTTAAACTATTATCTGATCAAAAAAAGTGACACGTATCAATTAAACATTTTCTCTTCTATCACTGTCAATTTGCTTTAAACCTTGTATAGAAGTCGAATGTACCGTGCCCCCTCCAGGTTTCCCGGTAAACGGTAATATACTTTTACAATGAAAGCCTATTGAGATGCGATTATAACATTCGAAACTCAAATCGAAAAATTCGAATTACTTTATAAACGCATAAACATAAAATAAAACTCATTATAGTACCGCCAACTATATCATAAAACTCGTTATAGTACCGCTATCTTTTTTTATTCATGAAACTAGTCTATGGTTTTAGGCTGAATATGAAAAAAATGGCGCACGCATGCATAGTTTGCATTAATTTCCCGCACTTCCCATAAATTTTCTTGCCGATAGTGTTTTTGTAGTGTATGAAACTGCATATAACTTAGGTAATAAAACCCTTGAGTCAACCTATTATAAACAGACGCTCGTGTTTTAATACCCGTTCTTATATGACAGTTGCATAAACTAATAAAACATTAGTAGGATAGGTAGTGTAATGTGAACTGACTGTTGGTGGGCGAGGGTAGTAGGATAGGTAGTGTAATGTCAATTGAATGTTGGTGGGCGAGGGTAGTAGGATATGTAGTGTAATGTCAACTGACTGTTGGTGGGCGAGGGTAGTAGGATATGTAGTGTAATGTTAACTGACTGTTGGTGGGCGAGGGTAGTAGGATATGTAGTGTAATGTTAACTGACTGTTGGTGGGCGAGGGTAGTAGGATAGGTAGTGTAATGTCAACTGACTGTTGGTGAGCGAGGGTAGTAGGATATGTAGTGTAATGTTAACTGACTGTTGGTGGGCGAGGGTAGTAGGATATGTAGTGTAATGTTAACTGACTGTTGGTGGGCGAGGGTAGTAGGATATGTAGTGTAATGTTAACTGACTGTTGGTGGGCGAGGGTAGTAAGATATGTAGTGTAATGTTAACTGACTGTTGGTGGGCGATGGTAGTAGGATATGTAGTGTAATGTTAACTGACTGTTGGTGGGCGAGGGTAGTAGGATATGTAGTGTAATGTTAACTGACTGTTGGTGGGCGAGGGTAGTAGGATATGTAGTGTAATGTCAACTGACTGTTGGTGGGCGAGGGCTGCTTCTGCGCGGGTTGCGCGTGCGCAGGCGGCGTGCCCAGCAGCACCGGCGCGGCGGTGACCCGCTCCAGGAACGCGTCCAGTTGGCGCAGCGACAACGCGTTGTGCAACGTCTCCAGCGGACGGATGGCGGGCACACCGCCGAAACCTTCCAGCGCCGCTACTGGTTCACGCAACGTACACACTATACATCATGGGTTCTTATCTAATGTGATAGAAAACCCTATTATACCACGGTCGTCGATTAATTTTACAACTAAAAAAAAGAATCATTCTCACTAGAGGGGGAGGGGGGAGGTTACGGATTGCTGGAGACGAGCTTCAGTTTGTGGCTACTGATGGATACCTTACACATTTCAGGTCCACTTTATTAAAATCATCATCATCAATCCTAATGGACGTAAAAACATTAGGATTGATGTTATCCTTGTGGATGGTTAAGGAGGATGGGCTATGACCCTCCAAGCTGGCCTAATGCGGCCGGAACCAACGGCTTAACGTGCCTTCTGAGGCACGGAGAAGCTCGAGAAAAATAATTTTTTGGTCATCCATCCCGTGACCGACCCTTAGGAAAGTTGCTTAACAACAATGACCACAGGCCGCAAAACTTATAACACTACGCCACCGAGCTATCTTTGTGTCTACTGGTAGGTACACTTTATTACAGAGTTGAGATGCATCTGTGCGAGCGCAAAAGCTATATGTTTGCGGACGAATGAAAGAGATAAATAATGCTGGGTCATAACGAAATTCTCTGTTCCACGACCGTGCTATACTTCTATTACTTGTCAATTCCCATTCTACGATCACCTAATCAAAAGGAACATATGCATACACACCAGTTGCTTAAACTTATTTTAGTAAGTTTCTTATATTCATATATAGTTAAGTGCAGTAAAAATAACATGGCTTTTTTTCGAGGGCTCAAAAGACTGGTCTATCTGAAGTACTACTAGAATATTGTATTGTATACTTTGTAGAAATAAACAAATAGTTAATAGGTCCCGAATTTTCTGGAATGATTTTAATTTTTTTTTCATTTGAGCTATAACATACATGGGTAATAAGCAATTATACTAATTAACGCTCACTTGAAGATTTTACCGTGTTGCGTGTCTCGTTGGGAACGATCCATTGAGATTCGTTTATCTATCTGATGCTTCGTGAATGAGTTAAATAAAAATTATTTATTACTGTACAAAATTAGATAAGCTTGTAAATCCACATACTGACATTTCTATTTCCCGTTGCGTAGGGATAAGAAACGATATTGTTGGTGCAATATTGTTGCATATTAGTCTGTAATAGAAGCGATCACAGGTTCGAACAGTGCGACACGTGACAACTTACTGTTCTGTAAATCCGATGAGCCTGTTTCGATTACGATTCATTTAAACCTGTATCATATTCATAAAGTAATTAAGGTCTAAATTAAAAAAGGAATAATAAACCGTATTTTTTTATATTGAAAAAATAAATTGTAGACGAAGAAGTAAAATTCAAGTTTACATTTATCCTAGGATGCCACTACCATTCAACAAACTATCTGTTTTTCAGTATAAATTATTATTCAGAATCAACGTGTATATTATTTACAGTCTCATTTTAACATCGCCCCGCAAACATGGACGTAAGAAGTAGCGGGGGTATTTTAGAGGTCTTTCTTCAACCAAACGAAAAACTACCTTATGTATCAAAACGGATTATACGGCTGATAATTCTTATGTTAATATAGATTTTTTTTTGCGGCGACATCCGAGTCTGTTATAATAACAGATTCCATATGGATTTTAAAATAAAAAATAAAATCAGTCAAGATTCATTATTTTTGAAGAAAGGTGTAATGACAAACTGTGAGTTCGGTTTCCGCGGAATCACCTTAAAACGAAAGCTGTTTCGGTCCCAGGTTGAGACTCCCACTTTTTTTACTAAATAGGACAAAATAAGTACGAAGACGGCGTGTCGTGTGGTGTGGTAGACTGGGAGGTGTGTCTGGTGTGTCGGGTGCGTGACTCACTGTTGTCCGGGTTGGCGGATGGTATCATGACGCGCAGGTTGGGCGCGGAGCTGGAGCCGGAGATGACGGCGGTGCTGAACAGTCCCGCGGCGGCCGCGCCGGGCAGCTTGGCGCGCGCCAGCCCCAGCATCTTGAGGTAGCTCATCTGGCCGGCGATGCTGTGCCGCTGCCGCCGCCCTGCCGCCCACACCGTACAGCCCGCCCGCCCCGCCCCGCCCCCGCCCCCGCCCCCGCCGAACGTCAGCGCCGACAGGGGCAGCTCGTTCGTCGCCGACTCCACCCCCCCCACGTCGACGTGGGGCGGGGGGGGCGACCGGACCGGGGACGAAACCCACCGCGCGCCTTAGTGTTACCGTTCCGCGCGTACGGATCACGCGTGTGTGGGACAGTTAGAAGTGAGGGTGACGGACGGGAGAAGAAATAGACAGAGGCGTTAATGAGTACAGTAGAAGAAGTGACGATGTACATATAATACATAGACGCTTACATATATAAATAGATACACGAAATGTTAAGCGTGACGGAGTCGCGGAATGGCAACGCGTCCGACGACGCCGGTTCGGCGACCGTTCTCCGGCTGTGTCGGGCGGGATTTCCGGCCGACTATATTACCCCTCCGTGCACATGAGTATGTGCTCGAAAAACTAAAGTAGGGCCCCGAATCTCCGCTCGACGGAAAAAATAAATCGAAGTATAAAAAATATATATACTAGGAGAGTTAGTGGCGGCCTAATTCATGCAGGTGCAAACGATAGTCAAACGCAACACGACGACGCGAGGTGCGAGAGTGCAACGAAAACACACACAAAATCACCGGCCAGAATGAGCTAATCGACGATACGCCGCTGTCACACATCGCTACGAACTCCAAAGGAACACAATTGAAAAACATACATGATGCAACAATGTCCCGAAATATAATAAAAACAACCGAATATAATATATAGCGTATCAGTGATGAATAGATTGAGAGTGCCTTCTATATGAAACTGACAAGAGACATTCAGCTTTACCGTTACAAAAACTATCTACGCATGCCTTCTACGTTCTTACCTTTTAAAGGCAATTCTTTTTCAATTTATTCAATATTAACAAAGAAAATTTATCTTATAATTCATTAATTATCCGAAAAGAAAATTAAGTTTACATATGATTGAATATAATTAACATTAATTGTTTTTCGCCAACTAATATCCGCAAGCTAATTCACTCATTAACTATAACATCAAGATTGAAATAGAACGTAGAATTCATAAGACGACATTTAGCGGATATTCGGTAGCGTACAGCTTCAAAATAGGTGGCGTCCCATAACAGAAATGTCCCATAACCTTGTACAAATAAAACTCATTACCCACAAAGAAGATATACCACGCTATAACGGTAGATATCCCAATAGTGAGTTGACACCGTATTGCCGCGGTGTTCGCCCACTGACCTTGGTTACTGTGTGCCGACACAGCTCGGTGACGCAACCCGCCGCCAGAGGACGTCTCGTCCGATTCTGTCGTATCGGTTTCAGTACACAAAGTCATTACTAGTGATGCCGCTCGATAGGCAACTATCGATATATCAATAAAGTCTCGATAAGGCAAACAAAAGTATCAAACACTTTGGATATTAACGACAGTAGGGATGATAATTGGGTTAAAAAAGAAAAATTCCTCAATTTAACAAGAAATGCTTTAGATATTAGGCGTTGAAGTTGAAGAGTGGGGGCTTGCTACATCACGACTATGTAGAAAAACAAAGGTGTGACGTCTTGCGACATTTCAACTCAATGTAATTTATTATTTACACAAAAAAAATGGGAGTTTAATTATTCTTCAATAATCCAACTGATGGACAGACAAAAAAATAGTCACCAAATATCATCCCTATTTTGTGTAGTCATCAACACGTCAGATAAAACTATGAACGACCAAAGGACCCCGCCCTTGCCTTATGGAAATTGGCTTTCTGTCAAATCGGATGAAACTATGATGAATGGATAGAGGAAGTCTTCCTGAGTAAAAGTCCTCATGGGCACTAAGCCCGAAAATCGAAACTTTTAGTACTTTTGGGCATTCGAAGTTTTTGATTTTGGATTCTAGCAAAATCAATAAATCCTTGTAGAATCGGCCCAAAGTTCAATTAGACATAAAAGAAAAAATACGTATCGAATATTTTTTCAAGACCTTTCGAACGACACCCTATTTGACCCCCCCCCCCACTCCCCCACCTACGGGGGTGGAAGGGGAGCGGTTTTTTGCGAAAAAGTTCTTTTATAATGTTATAATGGCCTCATGATTGACGGAACACTTGAGCCGTGCCCGATCGACCCCCCCCCCCTCACCCACCCACCACACGCGGGGGCGGAGGAAGAGAAGAGATAAAAGAACTTTTTCGCAAAAAACCGCTCCCCTTCCACCCCCGTAGGTGGGGGAGTGGGGGGGGGTCAAATAGGGTGTCGTTCGAAAGGTCTTGAAAAAATATTCGATACGTATTTTTTCTTTTATGTCTAATTGAACTTTGGGCCGATTCTACAAGGATTTATTGATTTTGCTAGAATCCAAAATCAAAAACTTCGAATGCCCAAAAGTACTAAAAGTTTCGATTTTCGGGCTTAGTGCCCATGAGGACTTTTACTCAGGAAGACTTCCTCTATCCATTCATCATAGTTTCATCCGATTTGACAGAAAGCCAATTTCCATAAGGCAAGGGCGGGGTCCTTACTCCAATCGATTTTAACTTAAACTGTTTAATGCTTTTAGAGGAACCCTTTTCGAAGCAAAAGATTACTTTTCGAAGAAAGACGATTACGCTGTCTTTTAGAATTCGTAATATATATATTAATTATTTGTGTTGTGCTCTTTTTATAATTTATAACAATAAAGCAAAATGAAGTACCCTTCAACGCTTGAGCAGCGTTCTCTATGCAGGCAATATTAGATTCTAGTTTATTGAGCATATATTGAAGGTTCAAGGACAATGGTTTAAAATTGCGGAATTTATTGCGGAAATTAGGCCCTTTTTCGTAACTGGATGTGCTGCTATGTGTATTTATAGATATTATAATTTTGAATACTGTCGAAAACAAAGTCTACCATTGATAGTGGTACTATCGATATTTCGGCATCACTAATAACCGTTTAACGTTCCACCACTCAATGCGATTGGCCTAATGCAAATGATCGAAAACATAGTATTATTTGTTTCCAAAATAAAAGAAATATGTTCTAAAAAATATATCAATTTTCAAGCAAAGGTTACATTACACGGTTGTTTGGTTGTCGTAGCAAACTAGAAATTTTAAAATAACGCATAGCAGTAACTAAAGTCATTAAGATATTATGATATTATGATCGTTGGATTATAAGCCCTAGATTACAGTTTAGTCTAAAACAATCTCAATATAATCCTCAATAAAATTCATCCTTTTTTAGTATTTAACGTCTATTTGTATATAATCTATTTTTTTTAAATTATAGGTTTACTAAATCAATACTCGTCACGATGTATGATGTAATGAGCAGCCTGAATTCTTTATATATTAAAAAAAAGTAAAAAGGATCATTTCATATGGTTTGCCTTTGGAATAAAACACGGCAGGCATTGTTAGTGGACAACCAGCAAAACGTGATCTGCTAGCTCGCACATAATTACCGTTGTCGCTGTTCTGCTTATGTTGGTCGTAGCTGCGGGCTCGGGGTGGCGGCTCCTCGACTTCCTTTAACTCTTTCTCTTCGCCCTATAGATAAATCCGCTCGACTCCATTATCAATAATAAATTTCAGTACATAAAAGTGAAAGATAGGTGCATAATTTAATTTTAAAAAATCCGTCTTCGATAACTTTAGTTTGGAACGCTTAAAACGTTATCAAAATGTTAGAGGGGAAAAGTCGAATGCTATTGGCAGTATTATCGTTTTCATTACAGGCATCCTTATCTATCAGTCACCTGTCATTGTCACTTTGACAAGTCTTACGCCATTTCGGAATGTCATTCTTGTAAAACTTTAAACAGATATTGAATTTTAAAATATATCAATAGAATATTACAAATAATAAAAGGATAGCGCCAAAAATTAAAATTCAGAATGCAATTATTAGTAGACAAAGTCAGACTACAGTAACAGGTGATATTTATTTATTATACACGATAATTTACCTGGTCGGCATCAACATGGCTACGTGCTCGTAGTTCAGCAGTAAGACGCGCCGCTAGTGTGGACGCCTCGTGTCCACTCACCGTATAATGAAGATTACTGGTACAGACAAAGGTTTTTTACACTATTAAAAATTGATAACCTTATGTAATATTATTACTAAAAACACAAGGTATCCGTAATAAGCCTAGAACCAGCCCTTGGACGTTCTAATAGAGATAACGACTAATTTTTATCTGTTTGTCCGTCAGGTAGAGAGTTAAAAAATATTAAACACGTATTTTTTTATTTTTTCGCAATCATAAAATAACGGCGGTACATGGAATTGAAATTTCGCATGACGTCACGTTAGGGTACGTTTTCTACTCAACTGTGACGTAGCGAGCCCCCACTACTCAACTTTAATGCCTGTTATCTAAGCTATTTCTTGTTAAATTGAAGTAAAAAATACGTATTTAGCATTTTTCTATTATCTGACTGACGGACTAAATAGAATTGCATTTTTTTTTACCCGGTCATAGGGATGATGATTGGGGCAAAGACTTGGGTGGAATAAAGAAAGATGAATAAATAATGAGATAAAATAGAAGAGAAAAATAGATACGACAGGATAGAAAAGTGAAAAGATAATAAGCAGATAAAAAAAGTCAAAGCTCTTTTTACTTGACCACAACTATAAGCATCAGAGATACACAAACACACACGAATTTGTCATACAGATTTAATATCTGGCTGGTGAAGAGTCAGCGAGACATCTATTCTCTCTTTTTGTGTCATAAATATACATTTGCGTAAATCGGGAAATTAAGTGCCCTTAACAATGCATGCACAGATATGAATGTTATAGAATAATTGATAGGTCTGATGTGTGTGAAGGACCAAAAAATATATATATTCACTCACCAAATCGGGATAGGATCTGAAGACTTGATTTTCGTTTTGGAAGACTTTTTAGGCGAAAACGTGTTGTCTAATTCATCGGCATTGTCCTTAAAAAAAAATAAACTCGTAAATATATATTACAGACACGTTAAAACACATTCCCAAAGTTAACTGCTGGGTGAAGAAAATAAACCAAAGTCACTGCTAGATGTTTGTACAAACGTTATAATAAATATTTTTTTTACCAATCTGGATTCAAACAATAACTCCTTAAAGAAGGCAAATAAGAGGCAAAATGAAACTCTTTCCCTTGCTTTTATGGGTCAAGTTTGATGGTAAGTACTTAATACTGCCAAAATCTACTTCTAACTTATGTAATTACAATTATATCAAAACTTACGGGCTGTAAAGTCTCCTGACTAGCCATCTGGTCGTCTTCACTTTCTTCTTCTATACATTTAACTTCATCTGAAGAACTCTGCAATCATTAACTAAGGTCATTAATGTTTAACTTTTACTATGATAGGACCTCTAAACGCCAGCATGCAATTTTAAGATCATATCTGCTGTCAAAAAATTGAATGTCTTTCATATCGAATACTTTAAATAGTTTTTTTCGAGCAGCCAACTAGCCAAAAGCAACAGGTAAATGAAAAAGCTTAACAAAGCATGCGGGCCCTATCGACTAATGAAAATGATCTTGCACTAGTCGATAAACCTTTTAACTCTTATAGATTCTTCAACGTCATATCTGTCTGTCTGTGTGTCCGCCAGTATGACACAGCCACTTTATTTCACAACTATTAGCATAAATAATACTTAGTGGGTATGCCTTAAAATTTTTTCGTTTCCTTATTTAAAAATATTTTATTAGGGTTTTGTTATGATTGTACTTTAATATATAGGAATAATAGAATAAGATTTTTTTAGTGCCCTCCATCGAGTAATAAACAAAACGCGACTGTATGATGCAGGCGATGCTTAAAAACGAACTCATAATACTATACAAGCGAAATTATTCTTGCAAACGTAACATCAAAGTTCCAAATTTTTCTATTTATGTAAATATTTAAGTTTTTGGTCATGCTTATTTTTTCATTTTAAATAGAAAGCAAATTTAGTACACTTCTTCATTACAATTCAACTCAAAACATACGCCGAACGGTAAACAGATATTTGAATATAAACCTTATTACATTACAGTATGAGCTAACACCGTTTGCTGTATTTCACCATCATCAGCAGTCTTCCACTTAATAGTGCATTACAATCTTATGTATATATGAATGGTATAAGGTTGATATTTTGAAAAATGAACCTTAAGTTTGTAAGAATTCGGTCGGTTGCACAAACGTCCATTAAGGTTTATTGACGCCTTTAAACTCTAATGAATGTCAAATTTGTATAGGTAATTTCGCCTTAAACTAATGATAATTTTAAGGGACGTTTGTGCAACTGACTGATAGCATGGCTAATAAAAACGTGTTTCTGTCTCCTAATAATTTAATATAACAACTGACCGAGTTATTGGCAGTAGAATGGTTGCGGCTGTGAGGACGGAAACCGGGGCCGGGCGGTAAATTTTTCTGGACACAGCAGTTTACGCCGGGGCTGAAGTGGAGCTCTACGTGAAACCTGCCACGTGTATAAGCGATATATTTATGTACCAAAATCTTTATGTTTGACCGTCTTTGATTGAAAAAAACCCAACCTAAATCATTGACGCGTTAATAGCAACAAGATCGTAAATAAACACTATGTCACTTCATAAAGTTAAATTACTTTCGGTCTTAAAAACGGACAAGATATGATATTATTGTTTAAAAAATATATGCTTTACGTCTATTAATATTATAATAAAGTAAAATATCTTATAAAGTAACATAAGATATCAATAATTTAAACCAGAAGTTTCCAAACAATTTTTTCTCGTAAACCATTTAAAAAAAATACTGGTTTCGGTGGACCCCCTGGCTACAAATTTTTTACCATATTCCCAGAATTCGTCCAAAATATGAAGAAAATGTGTGACACTTATAAATATGTGTAAATGTAAAGATCTAACGATGGAAATAGGCACCCTGTTTTTATTTTACGCCAACGTAGACCCCCGTTGAATCTCTCGTGGATCCCTGGGGGTCCACCCGGACCACTTAGGGAATCACTGATTTAAACGCTCACATATTAAACGTACTAGCTTCTTATAATATACCACAAATTAAATATCATTGCGCCATGTGATTTTTATAGATACCAGTGGTCGAAATTCAACCATAATAAATTTTATTTTGAAGTTATTTAACATAACATTGTACTTATCACTTAAAATCACTTATTTTTCCTATAAGTATATGAAATTACTGAAATCAAAAATATTTTGACATTCAGTAAGACCACAGTAAACATCACAAACATATGAATAGATGTCTATGGTGAACATATTAAATTTGACACTGGCTAAATGTATAAACCGTGTGAAGCCAATATTCAAAAGAAACAAACTCCATGTCAATAGAAACAATTTGACCACAGAGTACATGTATGCGTGTAGCAATTACTTGTTTGTGTGTGTCAAATGCATAGTAGTCTGTGTAATGTTTTATTTACCGATTTAATGTACTTTATAAGCATTATTATTGAAAAATATTAGCCGTTTGCACTTCTCTTAAATAAAAACCAAATTGCCAAATTTCATACTCCTCCGTCCTCGCAATTTTCGTGTCCAAAGAAAAAGGGAAAAACAAAAAGGGGTCCAAAATTTTTGCTTCACGTATTAATATGTAGATTTATATAGTGTGTTCCTTACCTCTCTTCCGAGCAGGGGTCCTTAGTGGGGTCCTCATACAGCATCACTACTATCTGCGACATGTAGTTGAGCTCCGACACCATAGACACGTACTCCATAGCTCGACGCCACTGTTCATCTTTTAATACCTACCACAAAATTTTCTTTTTATCATTTATAATCTATAGGTAACATCACATCAATTCAAATACACTATCGACCAATGGAAATGATCTTGAACTAGTTTTTAAACCAATAAGAGTCAATGACCGTCTAATGAAAATAAGCACAGATATCTCCGCACTCCGCATGCGGGCACTATCGACCAATGTAAAAGAGCTTGTACTAGTCGGTAAACCGATGAGAGTCAATGACCATTATCTATAGGTCCACATCAATTCAAATATACTTGTATTAAAGTGTACAGAAATAAATATCTAAAATTCGGGCGATTTAAGATGACACCTTGCTCGGGATGCTAAACTGCGTCATGCAAATTTAGTAGTGATAGCATAAACGTAACGTGTATTTGCGTTTCCGAAATTTAGAGTTACTGCTGTTAGTTATATTGTTAATTGGATTTTGTTAGGTCTGGATTTTTTTTTACTGTTGAAAATTTTCTTTATTTTTATTATGTTCCAGCGACAACCTTTCAAGTTGATTTGTCTGACTGTAGTATGAACACCTAAACAGGCAATTGTAAAGGTTTACTCACGTCGAGTAGTCCACCGAAGCGCAGTACTGTGAGTAACGAGTGCACGTGGCTCTCACTCGTGAAGTACAGGCGCGTGCGCACGTGCCGGCCCGGACTCGACACGCCATGACTGTACCTAAACCAGGGAACACTTCTCAACACATCAATACTACCTACTATATACTTAATACTATTAAATGTTTAGAAAGTTTAGTTTTTTTTATATTATTTTCATCTATAAGTAAGTGCAACTAATATTACTAGAGGTCAAAACTTTTAAGTCAATTTGACTTCATATAAGAAAAATTGATAAATAAAATTCCACAAAATACGTTTGTTTTTCACTTAATTATTTGAAGGAATTAAAATCAAAAAGACTAACTGCTATACTAAAAAATGTCAACTAACTGTGAAAAACAACATAGATTGTTTGTAGACTATAAAATGGCATTTGTGTCTTTAGAAATAAATATCTATACAAGTAAGCATTTAAGACAAGTAATTCTTATTTATTAACTAGTTTCCCGCCATTGGCTTCGCCACCAAGGTCTGTATTATACATATAAACCTTCTTCTTGAATCACTCTATATATTGATGAAAACCGCGTTAAAATCCCTTGTATATTTGAAAAGATCTCGGTGTACAGACATTTTTAGTAAAAGATTAAAATAAAGCTTAATTAAAAAATTACCTAGGATTTAGTCTATTCACTGTCTCCTCTCCCGATTCCTCAATATTCCTCTGTAAATCGGCGCGTATTTTCTTTAATAACGGGGTGCAAATCCCTTGTCCTATCGTAAGCTTTTCTTGCATAGTCGAACCATATTCCTGTGATAAACGACAATTAAAATATCTATGATATTGAACAAAATATAAGTTGACGTTGAAGTAGCTACAAATCAAATGAAGAGCTCGATGGCGCAGTCGTTAGCGCGCGCTTGGTCTGCGATACAGTTGTTAAGCAACTTTCACAAGGGTCGGTCGTAGGATGGGTGACTAAACATTTATTATGTCAAGCTTCTCTGTGCTTCGTATAGCACGTTAACCCGTTGTTCCCGGCTCCATTTTCAGTCGTTAACACCCACCAATCCGCACTGGGTCCGCGTGGTGGGTTCTATCCAAAGAGGCATGCCTGAGCCCCAACACTGGGGACGTTCATAGGCTGGTGAATACTAGTTAAAAGATTTCACTCAATCCAAAAGAATTCTAGATATTTCTTATTATCGGTGTGCCTGCTAACTTAGCGCTTAAAAAAACAAACGGGTATGAATTTGAAGCTAATAAATACAAAAACAAGTGACTGAATTTGTGATTCTCGTTATACATATAAACCCAAAGATTTCTTCTTAATTATTATTTAAAAATAAAAAATAATTCTTCATACTAAATGTTTATGAATGCTTGAGATGAATTTTAAACTGTATTGTGCTGCTATAAGGTTCAAACGTATTTTTTGTGATGTGGTGAGTACCATTGAGTAAATAAGAATTTATATCTATAAATCACAGTTTTTATATTATTCTTGAATCAGCAGTTATAAATCAGTCACAATTACCCTAAAACTCGCTGGTGTGCCTGCTATTTTGACGTTCACCAATTAAGCCCAAATACTAAGATCTTCTAATATTAGATTATAGAACGCGCAATGGTCCTGATTTATTACATTATATAATTATAAAGGTAATGAATTACTTGTATTATAATATATATATATATATTAAAACTTACTTGTGGTATAACAATATCAGCTAGATATTTGGCGTACATATACAACTCTTCAGCCTGGTCGAACTGAAGCGTGTGCTGGTTATGCTGCAGGTCATATTTGATGCAATCGTAAATGTCCGGGACCTTTGATATGTCAAATGTCTTATTCTTCTGACAAAAGTCCTTCTCTAGTTTCCCCCAGCGGCGACCCATTAACTCCCACGTCTCGCCATGATATAGTATAGTGTCTGGAGTAAATTATATATACTTAATATTTATATATTTAGGCACTCAACGAGACCAAAAATCGTGGATTGTTTATCATTAACTTTTCTAAATTATTAATTCATTATAAATAGTATTTAATACATTAAAGAAATTGATTAACCAATACTATATGGAAATATTATTAAGGTGCCAGTGATCAATGGGATTTTTTAAGCATTTTTCATTACGTATATGGAAATATGTCAATTATTGTAGCAAAAGTCTAGTATACTTGAACTTAACAGCACATATACAAAAAAAAATAACACGCCTCTATTTTAGATATCGTCTACGAAAATTATTCTCAGATTAACAACAAATCGTAAAGAAAATGAACAAAGATTAGGGATATAACGATACGGTGTAAACATAACGCTCTCGAATTCATTATAATCCAACATGACTACGAAGTAGGAACAGGCTTTGTAGCCGCCACCAATTACTGACTGAATTTATTTTAATACAATTAAAATTAAACGAATTTTATTTACATAACAAACAAGATTTTTTAATATACTCAAAATCCAAAAAAAATAATATATTGATATATAGGCTTTGTGAAGAGATATGTATTGCCTATAACCGATATATATCGAATTCGATATATCGATATTTTTATGAAACTTGCAAATCTCTAACAAAGATAATTATCAAACCTTTAGTCTTGGAATCGTCCTTTTTGACAATCACGATGCGCACGAGTCGCTGTATGAGTTCGTGCACGTGCGCGCAGCATCGCACCGGGTTCTTAACGAATTGCATAGCCGCCTGTATACTGAGCGAGTTACACGGGTTGATGAGAGCGTAATCCTCCGCCGTGAAATCCCGGTCCACTTGCATCGCCTCGTGGAGACGCGTCTTAGCCCTAGAAACTTTACTAGTTAATTGCCTGTATTGATTAGTTTCTTTGCGGAAGTAAAACTTTCTCATGGGCTTATCAAACGGTGGGTGACCAAAAATTTACTATCTCGAGCTCCTCCGTTCTTCGGAAGACACGTTAAGAAGTCATTATAACACATCAATTTGCAGTGGACCCACGAGATGGGCCATTCTTCCTATTGTAATTCGGTAACATAAAATAATAATGGCTGTACCGTTCTTCGGAAGACACGTTAAGAAGTCGTTATAACACACCACTTCGCACTGGACCCACGAGGTGGGTCATTCTTCCTATTGTAATTCGGTAACATAATAATGGCTGTATTTTGATATTGAAACCAATAAATAACAATTTAATATCTGGCCATTATTAATCTTTTTGATTAATAAATAAATATTTAACAACATCACACAAAGCCCAAAATCGCAAGTTGCTTCTCCCAAATAATGTTTTACCATTATTAATTATAATACTATTTATTACTCACATAGTCTGCACTTTCGATGAATCACAGTCGTTATCTAAAAGTCCATTGGTATTGGCGGATTTGACCATTTGCACCAATATCGGCGTGAGTTCGCCTTCCAGAGCTAGAAGACCCTTAGCGAATGCCGCCGCGGTCATCTGCACACGACCCTCGTCAGATGCGTAAATTTTCAGGTCATGGCGGAAAGTGGAGTGTAGCCGTAAAAGACCGAGACCTTGTGTACCACCTTCGCCTAAAATATACCAATAATTAATAATTTTCATTGCTATAATAAGTAGCTGAAACCTTCAATAGTGATGTTATTCTCTGCTCTTTTTAGATTTCAAATGTGTATTAATCTCAAAATATTTTGTCTCTAGATCGCAATATTCTTGAGAATAATTAGTTTCTAATGTGTTAATATCAGTTAGCATCTTCTTTATATCTACTCATACTTAATTTTACTTTATGCTGTTATCGTCTTTAGCTTTTTCCGAAAGGTTAACTGGGGGAGAATACCACTAGAATTAGGTCTGTCTTTTGTACCATTTCCGTACTGGTCAATAAAGTTTAATAAATAAACAAGGCATTCCCTTAATGGCTAGTTTACACGTGATTAAGTAGATAAATAGTAAGATGATTTTAACTTAAGTGATTAAGTGCATGAAAAAAACACAAATAAGTAGCAAGTTAAAATTTAGTCAACTACGTATAAACTTAATTAGGATTAAATTTTAACGTTCTTTTATTATGTGTAAATGATCCATAAGATAAAGATATGAGTGTGTTGTATATGTGACCTGGTATGTGACGCCCTTGCCCGCCTGGGTACATGCAGCGGAACATGCGGCCCAGCTCCTCGGCCTGGATGCGGCCCGCGGGGGTCAGCTCCCCGCCCCACTTCAGTATCAACACTAGCGACGGGTCGCCCGCACACCCTACTACAAAATAAACACATCACCACACTATACTCACTGCTAAACTCCTGACAAACCAATAGACTAATAGGCTAGTTGACAACTTTTTTTTTATTTCTAAAATAGTCTATTAATATCCGTGAAATAATGTAGAAGTAACACCATTGGAAGCTGTAGTAATGTAGAAGTAACAGCATGTCTGCGATTGATAGTTTCGAATATACGATGTTATGTTTGTGGAAATGCTGCTAGTCGACCAAAAATGAATTCAAGCCACTAACGGTCAGTTGCACAAAAGTCCATTAACGTTTAAGGACGCCTTTAAGCTCTAATTAATGTCAAATTTGTATGGGTAATGTCGCTTTAACTTAATGAAAATATTAATGTACGTTTGTGCAAATGGATGTTAATGCTGTCACCACTAATGACACGGTGCTACGATAGCGAAAAACGTATGGGTGTCTGGGCAATTTTTATAATATCTTTGTTATTTGTGCTTCTATGTTTATAGCTGTTTATAATAATAAGGTTTAATAAGGTTTATTAAACACCAAAGATGGAATTTGCAATCATAAATTGAACACTGATTCCCACACTAGGATGCCCTGGGTTGTAGGATCCAGTCTCTTTCGTTTTTGGTTAATTAAAGTTTTTACGCTTTGTGTAACTAATTTAATATCATATGTATTTTAGCACATTCTTGTATTATAGGTTTCCTACTTGTTTCCAGTTTTCTTCTTTTTAGTACATAGTCTCTCCGTCAATCTGTTCCTTTTTTTTCCTCTTTGGCAGCAACAAAATGGGGTCAAGTGGCTCAAGTGTCAGATAAATCGATTAACGTGGTAAAGGAGATATATATATATATATCGATGTATATCACTATACAGGGAGTATCAGAAAGATGCAGTGGAGCTTTACGTTTTAATACTTTACCTGATAATGATGAAAAATTACTACATATTTGATGTACACGATCGTGCCCTTTCATTTATTATGAACAAAAATTAACATGATTCTTTGATTTATATTAATATTTTTGTAATATTATACAGCACGTCAAAGGTGATCCTTTAACAGTGGTGGATTAACCTCATCGGAGGCCCGGGGCGGCAATAGGCCCGGAGCGACAAGTTTTTCCAGCTGGGGAAGAAACTTAATAGTGCGTTTACAACAAGGGCATACATTTTTAACTTTATTATATTATTATGTATTTATTATATTAACAACCATTTGGAGGCCCACAGGAGCCCCCCCCTCTCTCCTCCCCTTAGTCCGCCACTGTCAATAAGATACATTTTGAACAAGTCGAAATGTATGTTATACCTATGTTATATTTGATAAAATGTCGCCTTCGCAATGTTATTCGCCAGAACCAAGCTAGGCTATGTTTAATATGTGCGAATCCAAAATCAGAGAGCGAGACAGGCTGTTTTTCTATAATAAATTGCTATTTTAAGTAAACTACATATATTACCGTCATCGGAGCTAGACCCGCGCGGTCGTCCTCGAGGCTGATACTTCAACTGCACCTTGCGATTAATGCCCGAGAAGTGTCCGTACCTGTCGACAAACAGAACCAGTCAATATAATTCTATACCAATAATATAAAGAGGGAGCATTTGATTGTTCGTTTAGGCTCTTAAAGTACTGGCCCGATTTTAAAAAATTGTGTACATATATACGGGAAGCTACATCATGTGCGATAAACATAAACTATATTTTATCCCAAAAAACAGCAAATAAAGGGATGAAAATGGGAGTGGAAGTTTGTATGGGAAATTAAAACGTTGCCAAAGTACCATTACTTTCTATTCAATTTATCATTATAATTATATCCGTGTCATAATATAATTCGATATCCATATAAACTGGACCACGCGGGCGAAGCCGCAGTCGGAAAGCTAGTACAATATATAAGACCAACTATTCATTCCGGCTGGACTGGAAAGATTATGATCCGTTCTCACAATTCAATTAAAGTCCACTTATGGGAAGTCCCCAGCACTAGGGACATTGATGAAACTTACATCGTCAATCTTATTAGGACAGAAGAAGATTATTAATTGAGAATACATTATTCAAATTCAATATAATTTATTTAGTCTCGGCTGTTACAAGCACTTGTTAAAGTCGAAAGCTATGCCATCGGTTCATGGATCTACGGCGGGAGAACTTGTACTGCAAGAAACTCAACAAGAGCTGCCTTCTTCTCCCTGTTTTATTTTATACAGAGAAGTCAATTGGAATGTGACTTCATTAGACTATGAAGTCACCATTACAATACCACAAAACAGTTTTTTTTTCGATAATCTATTAATATGCCAGTTGCCGATTCATACATATTCGGTGATAGATTAAGTAATCCAGGATTAAATAATCCAGAATAGACTCCCACTCTCTTCTCCCATTCACAAGCATGAAGCATGAGCCAGCCATCGCTTCCTTCTATTGTGAAATGTGAAATTCAAACAATATTACGAGTAGAATGTGTAAAATCAAATAGTTGGTTGCAGAGGATAAGGACCAATGGAGATAGATAGATTATGCATGTATATAAACCAGGGTTCGCATAAATCCGATATATATAATAATACAAGATGCATATGTAATACAACGATTTTTAAGCTGCTAGTGGCTTAATTTAACATTTGATCTTTTAAAACAAAGGTGTAATATAAAGTTTGAGTTTAATTTTTTAATATCTGTTTATTTAATATAAAATATTAAAAAGATTCCGTTCACATTTTCTAGGTGAGACTCATTATTCAAACTAACAATAAATATTATAAATATCAACTGATATATATCATGATATTACATCTGTTGATATGTATCAGCGAACTCTGATATAAACTCACATCTCCAGCACACTCTTGAGCTGTTCCAGCTTGCCCTGCTTCTCCTCCAGCTCGGGGTCCGCGTGGTGCGTGTGTATGTCGGCGAGAAGGGCGCGCGCGATGTCCAGGATCTCCTGCAGCTGCTTCGGCTTCTTCAGCTTCACGAGGCCCCGCTTGAAACCCTCGTACTTCTCGAATATCTCGAAGAACCTGCGAAAGGTAACACTATTGCAACGATGCAATCAAATCAATTTTGTTTTTTCAATGACGATTGTTTTGATGTATTAGGATATACCTAAATTAAAATTTAAACTATAATAAAGTTGCGAGATACGTAAATTGTATTTACATAGTATATTACAACAGTTTTTTGTTGAGTGTGATCTTGCAGATATTATTTACCAGTAGCAAGAAAGAAGTGACGCGCGAGTCGAACTTGTCTATAAAGGATTGATTCCATAATGCACAGTTGCACAATGCACAGATAAGAGAAAAAAATATAGATTTTCATAATGTTTGTACAATAATTAATAGACTTATCTATATAAAAAAAAAATATTTCAATTCCATGTTTGGGGAGTACCCAAATTTTTATATTTGTACAATCTATCACTACACATCTATCAAGTTTCAACTGTATAGTCTTAATGAGTTCGGAATAAAGAGGCTGTGATATAACACACAGATAGACGGACATACAAATAATCTGAAAGATTTCGGTTTCTTCGCCATTCGTGTACTAAACCCTAAAAAGGACTACGAAAAGGTCTTGTATAACTTGAATACCGAGAATTTTCTACTATAATACTAATGTGTAGAGTAGAATAATGGAATATAATTATATGTGAATGGTACCCACCTAGGGTGCCGTACTTCTACTTTCATCTTCTGCTTGGGAGTACGGTCACCGTGTCTGATCACGCCGACCACGCATCGCAACTCCATCATCTTGCCAAACGTTGTCGGCACTGAAATGGAAAGTAATATTATCATCATCACCCAAATACAACTGGGATGCGTAAGGAAGGATGTATCGTTCACAACCAAGGGCCCAACTATGAGCTTTTACAACAATGCTTAATCCGTACAGCGAGCGGGATACCGCTATTGTTCCGTATAGCGCTCGCTGCACGGCTTAAGCATTGCTATGAGAGGCGATGGTAACCCCGCAGTGCGAATTAATGGATGTTAACTGCTGCAAATACATGCGACATCTATGACTTGTCGTGTATTTTCCAAAAATCGAGATATTTCCTGACAGATAACCTATCCGAATGCTGTGAAATTTACTTTCATATTTTCATTATAATTATGATAAATCAATTTTATTCTAATTTATTACCCCAGGAAGGATATAACGCTAACGACAACTATATGCGACTCCCCAATTTCTCCTTTAATTAAACCGAGCAATGTAACAGAGCATGAGGCCGAAATGCGTTCTTAAGACTAAGATAATAGGGACTTTTCTGAAAATAGTTTTACCTATAGGTGGGTCGTCAAGTTGGAACGGCACCGACCATGGTATATGCAGCGTGGGCGCCAGTTCCCGGAGGATCATGTTGCCGAGTATCTTAGCGCAATCGTCGTAGTATTTGTTGGAGTTCTTCACAAACGAGAACCCGTTAACGTCGCAAACGAACGACTTGCCGTTGGCCCTGTAATATTTGATATTTAGTCGAGTTCCTTTCATACATTGACACGAGGGCAGGCCCAATATATTCACTGCATTACTAAATATATGACAACAAATATTATTTGTATTATTATATATTAGTTATTTAAATAGTCTTGGTTAAACAAATATCTTGTCACATCAAATGAGTCTAATCATAATTATCCCTTTTACGTCCCCACTGCAGGGACCTTCCTTATGGATGGGCCTCTTTACGCAAGCCCAATGCAGATTGGAGGGTAACAACATAACAACTGCAAATGCAGCCGGGACAATGACTAACGTGCTTTCCCAAGCACGGAGTAACTCGTGATAATAATAGGGTATTCTACTCTGTGTGAAATAATACTTGTAACTGTTTATTTTAATTTAGAAAAGCCATAAAACTAATATTTCAGAAAAATCAAAAAGTTTCTTGTCATAATACTAAATCAAAATTTAAACTTATCCGTCATATTCATGACGTCCTTGTGCTATGTACACAGAACAGATGCATAAAGTAGAAGATTAAAAAAATGTCAATAAAACAAGAACAAAAGATATAAATAAGCTAAGAACAGCGCCATCTATGAATTTAATTTATAATTATTAAGAATATTTTTATAACTAATCTGACACCCGTCGCCACAGTGACATCACAAAATTTTTGGGTCGTGGTTCAAGTTACGTGACACCCAGACGACACGACTTCTAATTAGAAGATATACATATTATTTGTTGCGTAAATTCGTGACTTATTTTTCACTACCGAAACTACGAAGGCACTTGCTAATGTTGCTTAACAACAACCATCGCATACCACAGCCCTTATCTACTACTCCACCGAGCTACTCTACAAAAGGCACTAATTTGAATCTTATCTATAGATTAGCAAGAGACAATCAGTTTTCACGGTATGAATGAATGAATGAATGATAATTTTATTTGCAATAATCACAGCACAACATGCTAAATACACACTGACATAAAATATAAAAACAAAATAAATATAAAGAAATTAAATTAAACAAGCGATTAAAACACACACAGGATCACATGTATGCCGGGACGATGCAAAAAGGGCAAAAAGCTCGGCAATATGTTTGCTTGAAAAGCAAACTGCCGATTTTCAGCTTTAACCTAAGTTTGGATTAGCGGGGAACCAAAGACCAAAGTGAAAAATCATAAAAGCATATCATCAAATTCTTATTGAATAAAAAAAAATAATAATAATAAAGAAAAACGTATAAAATAATTTAATAAATATAAATTAAAAATACATTTTAATATAAAATTATACCAATTTGAAATGAAATAATAATATAAATGTCGGAAAATCGAACACAAACACTTAACATCACCATCAAACAAAGAGGACAATATCCGCCACCTAGGCGACATCAGTCAATTCCTTTTTTGTTGATGTTCCAATAAGACTTTTTTAAAATGTGTTTTAAAGTTTGTTTTAGTTGAGAGAAGTCTTATTGGCGGAGGTATGTTGTTCCAACACTTAGTCGCCTGGTAACGGAAGGATCCGGTAAAAGCAACTGTCCTATGGGAATGAAACGTTAAAGGAGGCCTAGCTGATCGTGGTACACCGGATCCGTATCTATTGTGGAACCTTGAGAAGCGTAATTTGTTATACAGGTATTCGGGAATTTCATATTTAATGATACCAAACATGAGGACAGCAAGGTGCAGCTTTCTTCGAGACTCCATATTAAGCATAAGAGCGCTGTTTAAATAAGGTGAAATATGGGAACGAGGAGGTATGTTGAAACAGAACCGACAACATGAATTCTGTATACGCTGGATCAATTTCTTAGTTCTATGCAACAGTCGGGGTCCGTAGACTAGGTCGCCGTAATTGAGTCTAGACAAAACTAGAGATTCGCAGAGGGTGATACGCGTTTTTACTGACAGATAATCACGAACTTTGTATAAGATTTTTAAGCGATAGAAACAGTTGCGGACCAGATTCAAGACGTGAGTCTCAAAGCGTAATCGGCTGTCCATAACAACACCCAAATTTTTTGCCTCACTGACACACTCAATATTATCTCCTGAGAGATTTACAGTTAAACCTCTACTTAAGATACCAGCAGTCTGCCTGTCTGTTCCGAACAGCATTAACTTTGATTTGGCCGCATTTAATACAAGGGTATTACTAGTGGACCATGCAGACACGGAATTCAGATCCTCTTGCAGAAGCTGCAGAGCCTGAGATGTACTAGAAGAATTCGTAGATATATACAATTGTACATCATCGGCATAACAATGATATTTACAATGCTTTATCACATAGGGCAGGTCAGCACTGTAAATAATAAAAAGTAAGGGTCCAAGTATGGACCCCTGTGGCACCCCACGATTAACTGGTGCAGGATCTGAAACCAAATGTAAACCATTCTGCGTTCTAATTTTAACTGATTGGTAACGGTCACTAAGATAGCTGTCAAACCACCTAATTGCAGAGTGGTCGAAACAATAATATGCCAACTTAGACAGAAGCAATGGTATATTAATACAGTCAAACGCGCGCGAAAAATCAAGTAAGGCCATTAGAGTACACTGCCCTTCATCTTGAGCAGATAGGATATCATCCGTGACATCTAATAGTGTCGTAACAGTACCACGTCCCTTACGAAATCCTGACTGTTGAGATTAAATAAATATTATTATTATTATTTTCTTCCACATACTTAACAAATATTATTATCTTCCACATACTTAATCAACTGGCTATGGACAACTTTTTCAAGGATTTTTGACAAAAAAGGCAACACACTAATAGGTCGCAAATCTCCACGATTAGCTACTGGTTCAACTTTAGGTACTGGCGTCACAAAAGCATACTTCCAACAGGAGGGGACAATACCACAAGTGATAGACCTATTAATAATATCTGTAATAACTGATAAGGTTCGTGAAAGAGTAAGCAGCACCATGTCCCTATCGATACCATCACTTCCCGCAACATTTGACTTTATAGATTTAATGTGATCCAAAACATCTTTATCAGAGATAGGCTTCAACATAAATGTCGATTTAAGAGAATGAAACCTATTATATTCAAAAAATGTCATATAAGATATAGAAGCAGTGTCAGAACCAGGAACTTTTAAAAAATGATTGTTAATCTGGTCTGGGCTACCGACGTCATCACTGAAATCATCCCTAGGAGGCTGTACCAAGATCTTCTGTTTTATATTTTTCCAAAAATGTTTATTGATTCCGCTATTAGAATTAATATAATAATTAAAATATGCACGTTTTTCATTGTAAATACTAGTTTTAAGAGTTTTTTTTAGGTCATTATAGTATTTTCGATGTACCTCAGATTTTGACTTCCTAAATCTAGCAAATGCTTTATTCCTTAACTGAATCATCATCCTAATCGTGTCAGTTATCCAAGGTAATGATTTGTTTTGTTTCAATTTTAACGATACCAGTGGAGCATGCTTATCAAAAAGAAATAATAATAGCTGATTAAACTTATCTACCATGGACTCAACCGAGGGCATGCCAGAAACCGCTTCCCAATCAATAGAGTTAAGATCAGCATTGAAATTCTCCAAATTGATTTTCGTCAACGGTCTGTATATCAAATGCTTAGGCGGGATCTTCGGTTTTTTTATTATTAAACTAAAGCTAACCATTGCATGGCCCAAAGATCCTGTAACACTCGACACAGTGAGTTCACGAGTCTTACAATTAGTACAAACCAAATCTATCAAGCTATCAGAATCAACGGAGTAGTGAGTGCACTCATTCACAACCTGCCGCAAGTCCAAACACTGCAGGAAATCATTGAGTTTTTTTACATTATCACTTGTATAATTGATCACATTAATGTTGAAGTCACCCATAAGCACAATGTATTCATAATTTGTAAAAGTCGCTATAGTCTCCGTTAATGCGTCCAGGAATGAGTCGACATTTATCCATTGTGGTCTATATGCCGTGCCTACTATTACACGTATACCATTTGCTTTGGTCGATAGCCACATCTGTTCGATATTTACATGAGGATGACTTAAAAACCGCACACGTAAGTTTTGCTTAAGATAAAAAGCAACTCCCCCACCTCTTCCTCTACGCATGTGCTGTGGACGAGGAAGATTCCGCAGCCGGTAGCCTGAGACGACAGGTGCCCTTGCTTCCTGACCAGTACGCAACCATGTCTCGTTAATAGCAACAATGTCCGCATCAATATGAGTCATAGCTACAAGAAAATAATCATGACCCGTGTTAAGCGATCCTGCATTATATAACGCTAGCTTCAGAAATTTTGTTTTAGTGTTCATATTGGTCATTCTTTAAATTTATAAGTTATTGAATATTTACATGTAGATATCATAAGAAGAAAAAATAAAATAAAATTAAATATAGCAAACTGATACCATGAATAAATAAAATATAAAATATTGATAATAACAATAAAAATCAACCCTAACAATTTTAAAACATACATAATAAGATCATTATTCAAATTAAATTTTATCAAATTGACAATAATATTAAAAATTAATTTAAATGAATCTAAAACATTGATTATCAGATTAAAAACCAATTTAAAAAAAAAGAAGATACAAATTCATTAAAACAATCTCTAAGCAATTACGTAAAACAATAATATAGCAAAGCAAGAAGGAATCATTAAGTTGCATCGTACCGGCACAATCATACATAAAACATAACACTCTACATAACAGCACATAAAAAGCATTTAAAATCATAAATTCAAATGACATAAACTTGCAAACATTAGATATAATTTCAGTCTTTAAGGAAGTAAATGCTAATACTACTAAAAATTTAAAGCAGAGTCTAAGCATCGCTAAACAGATTACCAAAACCGTGGCAAAAAAAATACATGAAGACTCAACAATTGCAAATACAGCTTTACCATATGATTGCCAAAATTCAATTTGATGTGGAATTTTAAAGCAGTAAATAACAATAATTTTATGAAATGAAAGCAGATTTGGAACATTAGTAGACAGCACAGCAAAAGCAATAAAAAAAATCAATACACGACAGCTCAATAACATTGCATACAGCCATATCATGGGAAAGCAATATCTGTACAATATAAGAAGCATGAACAGCATAATAAGCATGAATAAGCAAAATGAAAAACAGCGAACATTAGTTATTAAAGCGCCCCGCCTCCAGGCCAAAAACACGGTTAAGGTCTGCTTCAGCACGAATACCATAACGAATGAAGCCGACTCCAGGATGCTGACGTGCAAAAATTCGGCCATTCCTCGTCCAGATGAAACGCCATCCCCGCTCACGCCCCATCTGTCGCGCCCGTCGAAACAACATTCTGTTATATTTAGTCAGTCTCTCATTTAAAAAAAATTGAGCAGGTTTACCGGGAAGACCCATGCCCTCAGTGGTAACACCCCGACGCACTCTTGCAGCTTCCAACAGTTTATCACGTACAGCACGTCGTGCCAATCGCACTACAATTGGACGCGTGCGAGGCACAGCAGAAGTCTGGGATGCATCTAGTACACGGCCCACTCGCACTACACTAACAATATCCTGTTCATCCAGATGAACACCAAGTTTAGTTGCAACCGTACCGATAATATGTAGCAAACTTTCATTCGGCTGTTCCTGTATGCAAGTCACCTCAAGCTCCGTAAGCAATAGATCTTGATCTCGATCATTTAGTTCCGATTTCATTCTGTCAATTTCAGCAATAAGCGAAGCATTGTCCACCTTTTCAGTAGTGAGTCGTGTTTCAAGTGTAATCACTCGCTCATTAAGAACTGCAACTCGGCCTTCGCACTCTGTGAGCCTACCCGTAAGCGCCGCCACAGTATCATTTAACCGTTTTGTTTCAAGGCGAGCAGAGCGCATTTCCTCCCGCATCTCTTCCCTAAACGCTCGCATCTCCATAACTAACGACTGAAAATCTGTGATTTCGATAGTAATATTATGCGCAGTATCGTTTAAATAATCCATGTCTAGACCAGACGGAGACTCAACAGCAGCACCCCGCTGTACCGTGACCCCAAGGGCAGTTCCACGAACAGGTGTATTAGTGTTGTCAACCTTAGGTTGCCGACTGAAACACATAACACATTTCCAGGCTTTTTTGTGATCCTTGCTCATGGTATTATAAAACCGCTGTTCTGAGACATTGGCGCATTCCAAATCATAATGTAGTCCGCAGGCACTACAGCTCAGAAACCTTTTATCTTCGATGGATTTCCGACAACCTCCACAAATTCTATCATTGCTCGACATGTTGTTGGGCAATATATATTTTTATTATTATATTTAATATAGTAAAGAAAATAAGACAGACAAAAGCAATAAAATAATAAAAAAAAAAAAAAAAAAGACTAGCGTTCCGTTGATCCGATCCGGGTCACGCCACAGTTAGCTAAATCAGTCTGTTAGCGGCGCCACCACACCACCGAAGCGATGAAAGCGATGATAAAATATGGATACACTCTAAAGGCAGCAAGCAGCTCCAAGCGGTTTACTGAACCTGTTTGACAAGTTCGATGAACAACTCACTCGACAAGGCCAGCTAACAAATCTTACTGTCACTGATTTATAAATGAACACCGACCAATATTCAAATGAGAATCGTCACTATTCTTCAATCACGGAACATAACCACAAAAATATTATACAGTTCAACAGGGAATTTGTTGATAAATACACTGATATTATATTTAAGTACTAATTATTGCTATAACTGCAACAAAACATCAATGAACACAACAATGATCTCAAACACGTCCGTTAACGTTTGCGGTCCCCCCGCCAATCGATTAATATTTAATAAACCTAGTGTTTATCTTTTTAGAAAGTTCCTGAATATTTTTGTATTCTAAAGGCACATACTCACCGTAACAAATCGAACCCGCAAACTGTCTGTTTAAAAGCCAAGCAAACTTTCCGTGATATGAGTTTTTCTTGGTTGGACAATATAACTGGATATCTAATCTCCTTCCCCTCGGAGTCACGTTCCACTTTGCCATCTAACGCTGGACTCTTGCGCGCTTCAGCGTGAGCGTAATCGGGTCCCACGGTATACACCTTTACGTCTGTACCTGTTAACCGAAAAAATAATATAGGATTCATAGATTTATTAGTTTCTATAGTGTTCGAATTTCATTATTGTGTATTGTTATGAATGAAAATATTAGTAATTTTTGTGATTATTATTCCGCTTCTAAAAGATTTTTTTCAAGATTTAAATATAATTAAGGCCTGTTTATAATATGTCTTGTTAGATTATAAAGTGATAAAAGATACATGTTAATTTAAGTTGACATATATATAGCCAGAAACGTTGTCTTATAGGTTATTAGATGGTTATTAGACAACGTTTCTGACTCAGATACTTAAATTCGAAGTAGCAAAAGTTTTCGTATTATAGAATATCGAATACAACAAAGGTACCACAATACTCCGACCCGAGACAATACAGAAAAGTTCATCGTTTTCTTTATTGACCCATCTGGGAATCAAACTAGGGACTTCAGAAAAAATGACACCTTGAAACCAGAGCGCAAGCCACTCGGCTACAGAGATCATCGGAGAAGGTAAAATATGACATATGTGACTTAATATATTCCTCTTACCATCAGTGGGCATAAAATCTTCGTATATAAAAGATCCAGTTTTACGAACACGAGATTCTGGCGAATAAATACTGCTTCGACTTCCTATCTGGAATAAAACATTAAAACAAACATACAAAGATTAAATTTGCCTCAATACATATATATAATTTTAACAGATTCGCCAGTTAGCATTTTATGGGACGTAACCGCAAATATTTTACTATCTCTTATGTTAAACTCATAGAAAGATAAGAAAGGAGATTACTTCCGTATTCCAACCTTCACTAAGTAAGTCAAGGTATGTAAAGAACATTCCTAAATATAATATGTTAGTACAGTCAACAAGACGTCGAATTATACAAATCTGGCCAATCTCTCCTCTTGATTTTAATCCTTAATGCATTGATAATAGAATTTAGAATAGAGAACGAGCAGCTGTACATTACATTATACTTTAACAACACAAAAACAAATTATCGTTAAATTACTACCATTTAATTTTTATTATGTAGGTATACCCAAATACACCTGCCTAGATTTCGTCCAATGCGTCGTGTGTGCTTTTCGATGATCGAACATTTTAAATTCCCTCATTAATACATAATAGTAATTTAATAAATTAAGTAAAGCTCCCTAATTCTATGTCTAATTATGACATACCTTATTATAAAATTTTAATATTCTTGTTACTGGGCACACAAACCGCGGCACTTTATGCGTAATTCAATATTTATAAAGATCTTTATCAATATGGTATACGTTAGAATGTTTTCTTACTATAATTAGATCGTAAAATACGTAAACGACAATGTGCACGAACAAAAAAACTCATAATAGTTTAAAGACAAAAACACTTTGATATTCTACAAAAAATTATATACGTATGTTGAAAATATTAATTGAGAAGCCTTTATTTTATAAAGTTGGAAATAGTATTTACTATGAACGAAAAATCAAGCCAACTGCAGTTAAGAATACCTTTCTAAATAGTCGCTGACTCCCCCCGCCAGCAGATGTGGGATAGTAAATATAAATATTGTGATCTTCGGCCGACACTGGCTTTTCCACAAAAGGTTTGTTGAACACAACTCCATTCACCTCTACATGGTCCTCTGACTCCACTAATTCATGATCTAGTATAAAATAAATAAGTAAATTTCAACTACTGACGAATTAAATGACAAAAGACAAGACAACCTCCACTTACGTTTTGGATCTGGCGAATCTCTATCTAAAACAGCATACCTGGGTATTTCAATACCTTCATTTTCTAATATTGCATACACTTTCCTGCGATCCTGAAATTAATATTGAAAGTTAAAAAGAATCTTGGTGGATTTGAATAATGCAAAACTATACATACCTGGATGTCATACTGCATATGTAGATTGTTTATAACATAGGGCTTCCTTAACTTCTCATACTGAATAGCTTTATCTAATGGAAATCCTTTTGAGTGAAATGAAATTAAACAATCACAGATAGGCCATTCCTCGACTGGTTTCTAAAAATAAATTGGAAGCAATATTTAAATAATTTAATCTTCATACATTATTTAGACACATGCACACATATTCTAGGGAATGGTCATAGCTTAGTGAAAATTATCAGGTATCTACATGAAACTATCACGTCTCAAAGGGTCGATTTGCAACTAGACACCGACCACGGTAAACAAAGCAAGTATACATTACCGAAGCCTTTCAATGAAACCAAGGACGTGTTCACACAAGATGTTCCACAAATAAATTATGTATTATTTATGGAGTTATGTATTAGGAAAGAAGGAATTATGTATTATTTTAAGCGTTTTATTTAAGCTTTATAAAAAACAAGGAGGTTAATGATAGGCACTACTAATTTCCTCGCAAGATGAATAGTGAAACAAAATAAAATGTATAACAAATAAGCAAAACATTACAACACGACAGAGAATATTCGAAACATTTTTTCCCACATAGCTAAAGCAACAAAAATTGCTTAAAATCATATACTATTTTACAGTACTACAAACTACACAAGTGTACAATTAAAATAGAATGGAAATGTAAAAGACATTTTCAGCTCATATTTTGTTCCACTATAAAGGTTAGATATTTGGGAGAACCTTGAGGATAACCTCCTCAGGGAAGACGAGCATCTTGATGTACTCAAACTCGTCCAAACGGGTAAGGATCTCCTTCATCGGTTTCGATTGCGACTTCTTGGCCATGGCGCAGACGCCGACCACCACTTTCTTGCCCCCACCGTCGCATTGCGGATCCAGGGAATCGCACAAATCTAACTCGCCCTGAAACAATATCATAATTTGTGCATCTATTTGGTAGACGAAAGTTAAGATAACTTCGCATTCGCATGCGTTTGCGGCACGTTTACATTAATTGGGTCGCCTGACGCTGCTGAATGAGCGCTCAAAGGTGTCCAGTAATATTTTCTTGCTGTAAGAATCAAGTTTCTGCGAAAAAAGGAGCAGAGACATGGAGTGATGTGATGCAACCAAGTAAAGTAAGGAGATTTTGCTTTTTTAGGTGTTATCTGCAACATGTCATTTTGCATACAGGATACATAATTCCCAATCTAATTTACTAAACTTAAATATCTCAAGGTGAAACTGAGGTCTGGTTAAATAGGTACACAAACTGTTTTATCAATTATATCTAGAAAAAATATTTTTATTCCTTTACCTTTCTGTTTTTTGATTTTATTTCTTTAAAAATCAATTGTTTTCTGTAACTAATTATAGTAGGTATACAGGTTTTTATAATTGTTTTATATGTATAGGCTGTCTTTTGTAAAATTACCATTAGTGTAACAATGGTTATGTTTATGGGTCAACCATATAACTCATATTTAGTTCAGTGATAAGTTCCATTAAACAGGAAATCATGGAGTTATTATTTATTTATGTGCTATAAAAATTAAAATTGAGACAGTCAATTGAGCAAAGGGGAAAATCATTTGTGACAGATTTGTAGTATTTGAAGAAGTAGCTTGGTAGCGCGATCATTATTATTAAGAAACTTTCGCAAGCGTCGGTCATGGGATGGGTGACCAAAAAATATTATGTCAAAGTACTCCGTGCTTCGGAAGGCACATAAAGACATTGTGTCCGGCTACATTTCCAGCCCGCATTGGGCAAGTGTGTAGGGTTATAGTTTAACTATCTTAATTAAGAGCTGATGATAATAATGAAGTATATAAAACACTCTTTAAGATATAGTGGACCTTGAATTGAGCAGCACTGAGAACAGAAGGGAGAAGATATGTATATCTCTATATTGTCGAATGAAAATCCACTTGAGACTTAGGTGAAATTGGGAGACAGGCTCATATTTACGAAGTTTAAAAATGAATGTGAATGCAAGATTTTAAGAAGACCTAACATCAACTGTGTAAAAGCTTTACTGAAGTCTAGTGATGACAACACTATGAGCTGTTGTTTCTCCTACTATGAACAAGGAAGTCAACTGTTAATGGACAAGGTGCTCCAAAACCTCAGACAGAAAAGATAGCATCAAAAGGACAATTCAATTTGTTAGGAAAAGGATCAAACATCACATCCTACAAAAACAATCACCATAAATATTTAAAGTCATCTATTTAAAACAAAATGTAACATAAATTACAATTTGGCTGCACACCATTGTATTCTAATGTGTCTATACTTTGTTAGTTTGTTCAGGTCAAAGTGATATGTCCACAGGCAATCATTATCATTTATTGTGCTTTTTTAACAAAAAATTTACAGTAGAAAAACTTACTTTTGTATTATACACATTTGCTAAATAGTATGATTAATAACAATATTTGTATTACTGAGAATAGTATTTGTATATAGTCAACTTTCTTTCAAAATACTTTCACATGTAACACAACATAAAATTTAGCAAAGAATAACTAGTAAATTTATCTAAATTTAGTGGTCTAAAGTTTTATTAAAATGTTATACAGTTATTTATATTAGACTGTGGAGTTAAGCAAATTATAAATATAACCTTACATCAGGCAAACACTCATCACAATAACAAAATTCATCATCATTATCCTCCTTTTTCTTCTTGCTTCTCCATCTTTTAAGCCTCCACCAATCTTTTAACCACTGCCACTCCATTCTCACAATTACTTAGGTTTTCATTATCTTGATTTGAAACATATCACTGATAACTAATGAAAATAACCTTGTAGATGATTGGCTCAGTACAGTTCATACTTGATAAGTAAGATAAACTTGACATAAATTAATGCTGATATTACCTCACTTGTCATTGTCAGAATAGCACTATAATATGTTAGACCTGTATGTTGGCAATTCAATCCTTACAGCATTTAACTATCAATGGGAAATGTGCTTCAACTTAACTGTGTTTTATATAATATCAGTGAATCATTTACTATGGTGATAAGAAACTAATATTTGCCAACAAAGTAAATTATGTACTGTGACCCAATAGTCTTAATTAGTAATCAGTTGACAAATATACATAGCGGTTTAAATTATGTTTAATTTTCGAACATTACATATAATTGAATTGTTATTATAGACAAGGGATTTTCATGATGTTTTAAAGAATTCCTTGACAAAGACAACTTTCAACTTACGCGAAAATCTAGTATTTAATCAACTCACCGTTGATCTTATAGGAACAAGATTACCATCATCCCCGACATAAAATTGTGGTTGTCGTGAAGCTTGCCGCAACCCTTGATACCCATGTTCCAGCTCAGTGTATGACATTACCTACAAACATTAACATACGTGGACAACAGCCTCTTTAATTATTATTCAGTAAAGGAGACTTAAAGTATAAAAATCTTCTATAAATATGAATATTATAAAAAAATTTCGAACAATCAGAGAATTATGATAAATAAATAAGGAGTGGAATTTCTTCTTCTTCTTTTTTAATTCATGGCCTATTTGCATTTTGACTGGAATTCAAGATTTTTGACAGTGTTATGACAGTGACAGCGCTGCAGTGTTGCCAAACGTTATTTATAATAAAGAGAAAAAGATACGAAAAGATGAAGAAAGAACAAATAACTTTATAAATAGATAAAGACATGTACAGATATACAAAATTATTGGCAAAAAATAGCTTTAAATATATAAAAAGTAACAAAAGTCAAATTATTTATTAAGTCTAGACTTATACATAGCACTTGTGAAAATCCAAAACTACGCCAACGGTTCGCAAAATTACGGCGAGAGACCTTGTACTCAGAAGACCGACAAGGCACTAAGCATGGGCTGCTTTTTCCTACCTGTTTAATTTCACACAAAGAAGTCGTATGGGAAAATGACTTCTTTAGACTATAAAGTCACTTTAAGTTTAAGTGAAGTTAAAACCTGTTTAAGTGACGTTTAAGTAAAGTTTACAGTTACGTGTATTAATTTAAGTCTATACTAATCGATTAAAACTTTAATATTACACGTTTGTGGTGTTATCTTCGCTCACTATTAACATCTTTTGTGTTTATTTTATCAGTATTTTGTGCATGCCATATCGTATTGACTAAAACTTTTAACGTGTTGTTCATGGTAATTCAATACCTATATAATGTACGATATCCATGGACTATATAAAATGACTAAACTATAAAATAAAACTATAAAATAAACCTTTTCACTACCACTTAAAATATACTTTTCATTGATTTTTTTACAGAGACTTATCCGGACGGAGAGAGATAGTCACAACAGAGACCGTGTGTCAATTACTTTCATCTTGCCATTCATTATAAAAAATATCATTAATTAACAAAATTGAAGCGATATCGCAGACCATGAGTTTTAAATGAGATGAGATTGTGACCGATATTCACAAATTGTAGATCCCCTGAGTAAACAAACTCTTGTGATTCTCCATACTTTGTATATAGGCGCACAATACGTGCGATATCGTGATCGAATTCCATTAAGATCCTAAAAGTATCTAAAATAAGTCATTAAAAAAAATATTTACAAGGTGTGCCATAATAGCGTACGGTAATAATTGTATGCGGTAGTTAAAAACTGAACCATGAAAAGTCTTAGTTTACGAACATGTTATCGTTACACTATTTGAAAGAGACAAGTAACCTCTTTACTGGGTATCTCGCTTTTCAGTTGGGAGCGCTCTGTCCTGTCATATAGTACTAAGTCCATGACTATATCTCACTCTGGACCCGAAAAACGTGAAGTTTGGTTTGGTATAGACAAAGCAGTCATGTTCCTGATCACAACAGGAAAAAATTCACTTTAAATAAATTGCAATTAGACTGGGAATAACACTTTATTTTAAAATTAAGTATAAATCATAATAATCAAAAGTTACGACGAGTTTCAAAGAACAATGGCCATCTGCCTAACATGCTTGGACTAGTAAAATCGAATAAAACGTAACTTGATGAAACATATGTTATTTTGTTTGTCTATACAACTAGAACAAAGAAAGACATTAAATATATTTTTAAAAGCTGGGAGTATCGAGTAATTGTGTAATATGTTTTTAAGGTTATGTCCAGGGGTGTGACACTTGGAATATAGCGAAATTTTACAAAGAAGCTAATGCCATCTCTATTACTGAACCAATAACTTTTAGAGAACTTGTTTATTAAACAGTCAATAGATGGCATTAGATATATTTCAATGTTGCATCTTCAAAAAATAAGAGGAAATGCTTTTTATTTTAATATTATTATTTTTATGCCTCAATCCTATTAATATTATAAAGGCGAAAGTTTGTAAGTATGGATGTATGGATGTTTGTTACTCTTTCACGAAAAAACTACTGGACGGATTTGGATAAAACTTTACAGCAATATAGGTTATACATCAGAATAACACATAGGGTACTTTTTACTGGGAAAACTTCTCACTCCCACGGGATACCGACTTCCACGCGGACGAAGTCGCGGGCGTCCACTAGTTATTTAATAATATTAAAATATGAAATAACTATTGAAATAAAATTTTCTAATTTTCTTATATTTAATATGGTAACATTAAATCAAAAATTTATATTATCAACAAAATAAACAAAATGGCTGCAGATTGGTCGTAATCGTAGCTTGCGTATGCGCTTCTGTGTTTTCGATCAATTTTGTGACTTTTGAGTGTTTTCTCTACTGTATACGTTGAGTTGAGGTCCGTCTCCTCCGTATTAGTATTGAGTTTTGCTCCTGTCTTCCTCCGTGTTAGGATTACACGTGACGTGATTGCGAAACAGACGCTTTTTTACTTTTGTATTGTGTTTTGTGTGGTGTTTTCGTGTTACTAAAATCGCTACTATGCCAGGTCATCATTGCCTTCTTGGATGTAAACAGTCTGGTAAGTTCTCAAAAGAAATTTTATTGAATAAATAAATACTTTGAATTTGGATACCGACTCAAGACTATTTAACATCAAACAAACTTATGAAACCACTATGTAAATAAAGAATTATTTTGTAATTAAAGGCTTAAATTGTCTTTTTAATCCTATTAATATTATAAAGGCGAAAGTTTGTAAGTATGGATGTATGGATGTTTGTTACTCTTTCACGAAAAAACTACTGGACGGATTTGGATAAAACTTTACAGCAATATAGGTTATACATCAGAATAACACATAGGGTACTTTTTACTGGGAAAACTTCTCACTCCCACGGGATACCGACTTCCACGCGGACGAAGTCGCGGGCGTCCACTAGTAGAAAATATGTGTATGATTTGCCATCGTTGTGTATTAGTAGCAGGGTTGTCAGATGGGCTGAAGAGAAAAACCGTACAAAATTATTGTATTAATTTTTTATGAAAAAAAAACATTCAATAAGATCGTTTCTTATTGTAAGAGTCAATTTACTTTTGACATATCAGGTGTGCTTGATTATGCTATACAATCCCCACATAGTATAAAGCGAAGTCACTTCCCGCGTCTGTATGTATGTATGCTTAGATATTTAAACCTACACTACCATTTAGAATGCGACTTTTATAAATAGATAGAGTGATTTAAGAGAAAGGATTATACCTATGTATAATACAAGACCACGCAGGCGAAGTCGCTGGTGGCAGGCTAGTTTAAAATATGTTAATATATGTATTGATCTTATGAACAATGAAAGTTAAGATTTTCATTCTTGAATTATTTTTGTTGTGCCCTAATAAGAAATACCAGTTAACAATAAAAAAGTTATTTTTATTAATTAATTAGTTTGTGTCGGTAGGTTTTAAAATAAATTGTTAATATTATTTTCAGATGCTGCTATACATGTTTTCCCAAATCCTGACAAATATCCTGAACGTTTCAAAGTTTGGGTTGAACGTGTTGGAGGGAATTTGGAAAAACCATCTGAATTTTATAGAAACAAGAGGATTTGTGACATCCATTTCAAAAATGAACATAAAAACCGTAATAACCGCTTAAGTGCTTTAGCAGTTCCATGTCTACATTTGCCTGGTAAGAAGATTATTTTTTTTTAATTTAATGCTAATAGGGTACTTGACACTATTGAAAATAATTTGCAATTTGTGGTCATCCTGCAAGATAATAATCTAATGAAGTTTATTTCTTAGAATCTGCAGAAACAATATGTTTAGATTAATTAAAATCACATAAAGAAAATGCAATATTTTTAGACATTTCAAGAACCACGAAAATGCCCTGTGATTGGCTGCCGTCTCGACTAAGTCTCAATCAATAGGAGGTTTTGTTGAAACCGGAAACTGTCATTATCTATGATGTCAAAACAGTGTTACAAATTCGTATTTATGCACACAGCTTGTAGCTCATTTTATAAACGAAACCAAAGTAGATATAAATACAAAAAATGAATTCTAACTTTAATTTCTCTTCTGTAATACTATTTGTTTACTTAATAAGTACATAATTAGGTTATTTCCACAGTATTGGCGTGGTACTGTCACAGATGCCACCCCAATACTGAGCAGCGTTTTTCGCGCGATTCTGGTTATTTAAACTTTAAACATTATTTTCATTGTAAATAGAATAAATGAAATATTTTGACAGTGTGTTTATAATGTATGAAACAATGATTTAAAATAGTTTTCAGAAATGTATTAAATACCCTATTATATGTACCAAGTTTTAAATGCTATATTTTATCATGTGCAAGAATAGTGCATAGAAAAGTTAACCATTCTTCCTTATAAAATCAACTAATTTTCATTCCAAATTTAGCCAAATGTAAAGTTCCAATGTTATTTCATCTTTTAGATTGTGATTACACAGACTGTAAATGACTTATAATGTTATTCTTCTAATATATTCTTCTAAAAAGAATAATATATTTAAAATTATATTAAAGTGCTGAATAATTTTAATTTATTTTTCTTGCAACAAGTTGTTTTTGGATTCAATTGACATTGTATTGTATTTAATGTTTTTTTTTTCAATATTGCAGGTGGATCAGTTAATCGTACCACTGAAAGTAACACACAAGCACCTGCTGCTAATGCTACTTCAGGTAAGGTTTTAAAATTAGTAATATTTTGATGTTTTCAAATACAATAAAAATTTCAGAATTTGTAGTCATAATATTAACATGTTTCCTGCAAAGATATTACAATATGTAAATGTATAAGTGTATTAGCAAATTTTAATAAAATATAAATAAAATAAAATAAATAATATAAATATATAAAATTATTGCCCCTGCAATGGGGACGCAAAAGGGCTGATGATGAGGCACACAATTCTTTATAAAGTAATAAGAGATTATTTTGTCTTCTCTTAAATTATATCAATACATATAATTTTTTTGCTATTACATATACCATCGTTTCTCAAGTGGTTAAGAAACGATGGCATATATATTTGAGATGATTCAAGTTTATAAAAAACTATCAATATATTTCAGATGAAATGATTACTCAACATTCTGCGGTTGTCAGCCAACCTAATCTTTCATCTATAGCTCCTCATACATCAGGTATTACAGTTATTTTATTATAATAATATCCACTAACAAATAAATATTTCTTTCTACAATATTTTTTAAAATAATGCTTGTATTTATTTTTAGATGTTATGAATCAGAGCAGTACATCTGTGGTTAAGGAACATAGCTATAGTGTTATAAGCAGATGTGAGAAAAAGCAACCAGTTAAAGGTAAAAAGAAGTGTAATAATTTAGACAAATTATTACAAAATCTAATTTAATTATAGTGATAATCACTGATATTGCATTTATTATCAAAATATTTTTTCCTTTTTCAGTTGCGTTGATGGGCTACCAAGCAAGAGCATATCAATATAAAATAAAAGCTCTACAGTCAAATTTATGTCGCCTGCGTAAAAAGACTCAGAGTCTGAAACAACGTCTTGTTAATGCTGAAAAAATATCTAATGATGTATACTTTCAACATGTTATTGCAAACATGAAAAAACCTGCTCAAATATTTATACAAATGCAAAAACAGGCAAAGAAAGACGCAAAAGGAAGAAGATTTTCCACAGAAGAGAAAATTTTATGTCTTTCCCTTTTCAAAAAGAGTGCAAAGTGCTATAGACTTTTGTCTAAATACTTCACTTTACCATCAAGTAGAACTATGAAACGTGTTTTAAGTAAGATTAAAATTAGCGAAGGCATAAACAAAATTATATTTGAAAAAATAAAGCACTCTATGAACGATCAGGAAGTACCTGATCGATTGTGCACTCTCATTTTCGATGAAATGTCGATCACACCTCAGGTGTTTTATGATAGCAGTGCTGATAAATTTTCAGGATTTGCCTCCAATCAAGACACAGCATTCGCCGATCACGCTCTTGTATTTATGGTAAAAGGCGTGAAAAAACATTATAAACAACCAGTAGCTTACTATTTTACTAGTGGCCTTAAAAAAAATGAATTAAAAGAGTTGATAAAAAGTGTTATCAAAGAGGTCTTGAAGACAGGTCTGATTGTGGTTGCAACAATTTGCGACCAAAGCGCAGTTAATGTCGGAGCAATCACAGAATTAATTGAAGAAACGAAAGCCACGTATATTCGCCAAGGAAAAGAATGGCAAAAAGATGTATTATATCTATACGGAAAAAAAATTATCCCTTTATATGATACCCCGCACCTTATAAAGGGCATAAGAAATAATCTTCTTAATAAAGATTTATACTATACTGTAAACAATCAAACAAAAACTATTAAATGGGAGTATTTTGTACAAATATATCATGCAGATAAGGCTCAAGGAGAATTGAGATTATTAAACAAATTAACAGAAGAACACATTAATAAAGCAAAAATTAATAAAATGCGCGTCAAGTCGGCTACACAACTATTTAGCCATAGTGTTGCAGTTGTCACCAGCCATTTGGCAGCTAGAGGTGAAGTCCCTACAGAATGCCAGCAGTTAATTGACTTCACATTATTGATCGATAATATATTCGACTCATTAAACGGAAGTTCATATACAGTAAGTAATGGAAAAATTTATAAAGGTCCTCTTAAAAGGAATTCTCCACACCATCAGCTGTGGAAAAATGCTATTACAATATTAAAAACTGTTAAATTTGTGAACAAAGTGAGATTGACTGAATCAATAGCGCCTTCTGTTAAAAATTTAATAAAAACGATTGAGGGAATGCAAACCATCTGGCAAATTTTAAATAAAAAATATGATATGGATGCAGTTCTCACAAGAAATTTTAATCAAGACCCGTTAGAAAATTTTTTCGGAAGCATCAGGAGTTATGGGGCTAGAAATATTGCTCCAAACACTGTCTGTTTTGAAGGAGCTTATAAGGCTTTAATGGTCAATAATATGAGTTCTCCTCACTCAAAAAGAGCAAATTGTGAGGAGGATTCAAATGAGTGCCTTCAAAATTTAAATTTTTATTTAAAAGAAAAAATTGATTGTACTCCTGTTGCTTCCGAAAATATCAACTATAATTTAAATCTGGAAGCATATGCCCAGTTAAACGAGAATGATGCTGGGCAAAGTAATTATGTGTGTGGCTGGGTCATAACTAAATGTTTAAAAAAAATTATTAAAAAATGTGAGAACTGCAGAAAAAATATATTAGAAAAGAACAATAATATTAATAACAATTTCATAAGACGCAAAGAATACTGTAATAAAAGATGGTTGTGTTACCCAAATGCTGAAATGGAAAAATATTTTAAAAGTATACAAAATATTGCTGTCTCTGTATTAAAAAAAAATGTTTCAAAAAATAATATAAAAAGGTCAATTCTTTTATATGAAGATTTGTTAATTGAGTGTCCATTTAGATGTCACATTCATAAAGTTGAATTAAAATCATATTTTGTAGATATCACTTTAAATGTGATTTTACACAGTTGGACCAGGTCAGTCAATCGAATTTTGTCTGGAAAGATTACATATGACGGTGACGATGAAATGAAAAAATCAGCGCAATTATATTTCAATAAACGAATACATTACAAAAACAGAAAATAAAGACATCATGTATTTATTATGTGTCAATAATCTAATACAAAGGTGAGCTGCAATGAGTGGATAAGTGTACCTTACATTGCAGTGGTGATTGACTAATTTAATTTCTTTGTTTGAATGAACCAATTTATATAGGTATCAACCTATAAGTATAATTGGTTGATTATCATGTTCAGTATAATAATAAAAATTTAAAATATGTTAACGCGAATGATTATATTTATGTTTTAACAAACAAACTGATTGTATGTTATTCAAAATTTATAATTGATTTCGTTATATTTTAGATAGTTTTGTAGACTTATCTAGGAAACAATATTTGCTATGGGTATTTCATTATATTCGCTAGTAAGTATACAATACAATAAGTGTTGAGTTACATACATACAGCAGTCCAATACTGCAAATGTTTAAGTAATAATCGCATCTCAATAGAATCTCAATTATTTGCATTTTAACATTGTACTATCTACCCGAAGTATAATATTATTATAAAACTGACGCAATTTATTTGTGAGGAAGACATTGCACCAATAATATTGAACTTTTGGTAAAATACAAGTCGTTCAGATTCTATCGAGATACTATTATAAGGTTAACATTAGGAAATGCCTGCCGGCCATTTTCATTATTGCTAAGGTTCAGTATTGGATGTAAGGGATCTTCAAAATAAAAATAAAATCACATACTTATAAACCCCGCGAAGGATCCGCCGCGATAATAATAGATATTTTTATTAGTGAATGATATCACAAAAATAAACTTAAAAAAATATTACTCTTATTTTACATTATTTTGAAGTTCTCTATTGCAGCTTTGGTTTGTGTTAACAAAGTGTTAGGTATTGTTATAAAAATCGCATATAAAAAGCTATTCAATTATATATAAAGTAAAATAATTATATAACTATATATTTTGATTCATAAAGCATAACTATATGCAAATTGTAAAATTGAAGTATTTCTCAATTTCGCTCCAAACTCAAGTTTCCTCTCTTCTGCATCCAATGTTACACTTCGATCTTCTTCTAATCTCACCCTCGAGTTTCCTCGCCACTCTACTGATTTCTATTCCTTTTCTTTTACTGTACACGCTGTTCGTTTATGGAACTCTCTTCCAGAGAGCATCACGAAAGCTCGCTCATTGACTACTTTTGGCGATCAGGTTATAAGCTATTTGCTTTCCATGTCTTGAACTTATTTATACATTCTTTCTATATATTATGTTTATCTTTTTCCCTGTGTATTAGTCTATTGGATTTATCTGGTTTGTATATTGCTTGTTGCACCCACTCCCCCTTATTTTCTCTTTATTTATTTATTTTCCTCCATAGGTTGCCTGGGAGAGATCGCTATTTAGCGATAAGGCCACCTGTTGTGTACTATTTTTCTCATGCTGTGTAATTTGTTAATTTTCCTGTGTTGTGTGCAATAAAGATAAAGTATATTATTATTATTATTATTCTTCTAGATTTAGAATTTTTGATCACTACTAATTTAATAAATACAGAACCATAAGGTTAGTCTAGAATTGTTGGGAATGCCCTAAATAGGTATTGAATTGAATTATTATAGAATGTACTTGTTTCTTGAATAAAGTAATAAATTGGTATTTCAATTTGTTTTATTCATCTTCCCCTATTCATAAAATATGTCTTATATTTGTTGCATTGTCTTTAACAGCGATCTAAGCATTAATTTTGCTTTTATCGTTATTAAAGGCAATGTATTAAATAACTAGCTACAAATACAAATAAATAGTAATATAGATAGGTACCTATACCTATATATATATATATATATATACACTAGTTTCGGGTTCAGAAATGCAGAGGCGCTGCTGTCTATCGGTTGGCAAAAATAAGTCGCAAGAGGTCTCTCTTTTTCCTAAATATAATAATACTCTTTGGTTATGTCGTATTATTTAAACTGTAGCATTTTAAGTTAGAGGTATTACAGTTGAAATATATAAAGCACACGTCAGATAATGCCTAATCGTGGTCCTAGAAGCGCATACTTTCACATAATATTTCAAACTTGCTCCATATCTGATATATTATTTTTATTGACTGTAAGAAATACAATAATTTTTTGTGAACCAATGAACATCAAAAAATAATAGAATTTTGAAGATTGCTCTCAATAACTCTACTTTTCCATCTTACATTATAACTTATATAAAGTAGTAGTGAAAATACTAATGTCAAAAGGATATAGCAAAACAACATGTTGATTTTTCTTTTCTTTATTACAACTCTAATGAATACCTCATCCCGGAATGCTGCAGGAGCAGCTACATTCTGTTCATATTTGGCCCATCCAAGATACCAAACTATGGTCATTATATGAGCACAGCATGTAGTATGCTCCCCATAATATAGAAGATAATACAAAATTGCCGCCAAAGTTACAAAACGGTCTGCGTAGAAACACGTCACACATACTTGTCTAAAAATGGGAGGTCGCAATCGATTATTGAATATTGTAATATCGATTCTTATGAATAATCATTAGTTTTAAATTTCATTATAAATAAACTATTTTCCTCTAGGTAACATCTAATTATATTAGTAATCTAATCTAAGTTTTATAATTTTCATGGATTTATATGGTTAGTAAATAATATAAGATTTGTATCAAATTAGATTAGTCAGAAATAAAATCGATCTTGTTCTTTGAAAAGAGAGGGCTTCTCTAGGAATGACATTATTATTAAGATGCGTTCAAAAATAACATAATTTAAACTGCGTTCTAAAAAATAAAGAATTATTTTAGAGAGGAATATCTTTCTTTTCCCAGCTTTTAAAAATAAATTGTTAGTATATAATAATAATATTCAACTTATACTACATGTTGGTAATAGTTCCATCTTGGTACAAGAACTTTTTTTTCGTAGTCCATTTTGGCCATTGTTCTTTATGCTTTTGTTAGAATCAGGGTTACAATATAATTTTACACGTGTTACTGATGTAAGATCACATGCGAAGATGCCGTTTGATGTTAAAATTTGGAAAACTTATACATGTTTTAGGTTTCGTTGTTTTTTCGATATCGTCATTGCTGATGTATCAATATCGATATAATATGTTTTTCGATATATCGTGCGTCCCTAATTTAAAAACAGTGCAACATTGCCGTTTGGTACAAAATGAGGGAGGGAGTCGGTAATAATGCTAAACAAAACATATTTTGTCTTAAGATTCTAAGAAATAAACTTTATTAGATTGACGACAACACGCAACTTATCTGCAATAGTACCTAATGTTCCATTTTTAAAATCAATCATTTATATTTTGAATCATATAAATATATTTCTAAATAAAACCGATACATTTTTATTAACTTTAGTTTTTACTTAGACTAATTAATATCATTTATCTATAAAATATTAAATACGTATTTGCGAAGAAACACATAAACAAACCTGAATCGTTCCAAAAAACTCATAAAACTTAACCCATTCCCTCAATCTTGAATATATTGAGTATGTATCGAGTCGCCTTTAAAATCGAAACAACTCGCTATTTAACTCTTCACTCAAAAAGTCCACCACCTCATTTAATGAGGTGGTTCAAAATTGAAAAACGAGTACTCCCTCATTTTGTCGAAATGAGGAACTCAAACGAGGCACCTTACGAGTGAGTGGCTCATCACTAAATGACAGTAAATATTTTTGTAGAAATGGATGTCTACAGTCAGTCTTATATGTCTACAATTAATTTCTGGCAATCAGTAAATATATTATTGACTAAGTTTAATGTTATAAATAAGAGATTATGGAGTAGTAAAATTTTGTACCAATGTATTTGCAAGCCTATTTATTCAGAATGGACTGCTCCCCTAAGAAGTATTATTAAAGTTACTTGTGAACAGATTGAAGCGTATGTGAAAAGAATTTTAGTAAATTTAGATTTATTACACGTGGAACATTCGGATTGCGACTCTTACATTGAAATAATTATTCTTGAACTACTTCCAAAAAAATATACCGATGTAAAAGCATTCCAACTTGTTTGTTTAGATAAAAAGAACACAATAGTTACATTTTACAACATAACTCCTGAGAGCCCTATGTTATGGAATATCAGTAACTTATGTCCAGACTTTACTTATTCGTTAACTCTTCTAAATGAAACACTTGCTTTGAAAATTGGTCCAGGTTAGTGTGTAAATTTTTGCTTACTATAACTTAACAAAGAAATATTTTAAACAGCTACAGAATTTTATATTTAGATTCCAACACAAAACAGCAAAAATGGCTTAAAGACATTGTTCTTCCACAATTTGTTAAATGGGGAAGAGATGAAGGAGAGTACAAGAAGCCTCTATGCAAAGAATCCCTGCAATTGATATCCACAGATAAATATTATAAAAAGTACAATGAACTTAAACAAAAGTATGGCAAGGAAATGGTTGAGGTAAAATGAAATAACATTATTTCTAAGATTTTCACCTGTCTATAGTTTCATAGGTAATATAATTTATTGCTGTTGTTTCAGAATTGGCCAGAGGGGACCGATCCATACAAATTTGTATATGAAGATGTTGCAATAGCAACATATCTCTTATTACTTTGGGAAAATGATATAGAAAATACTCCAAAGAAAACATTTGTTGATCTTGGTTGTGGCAATGGTCTACTGGTATATATTTTGACTAATGAAGGACATAACGGTGTTGGCATAGATGTTAGAAAGAGGAAAATCTGGGATTTCTACCCTAAAAATGTTAATTTGGAAGTAAGTTAATTTGAGTTATTTTTCTTGACCAATCAATTAAAACTTCATGAAGTTGTTGTTACATAATTTACCTCATTTATAAAATATTTTTCATTAAGTTTACAAAGTTAGTTTTTTATCATTTTCAGGAGAAAACTATTATCCCTTCAGACAGTAATGTATTTCCTCAGGCTGATTGGTTAATTGGAAACCATTCTGATGAATTAACACCGTGGATACCTGTTATTGCAAGCAACAGTTCATACAAATGCAGTTTCTTTCTTCTACCATGTTGTGCTTTCAATTTTGATGGTACTAAATATCAAAGGAAAGATTCCTCTAAAAGTCAGTATATGGAGTACATAGAGTATGTTAAATCAATTTGTGAAATTTGTGGGTTCGAAACAAATATAGATAGACTCAAAATACCTAGCACTAAAAGAATATGTCTAGTAGGGCAAAAGAAAACATACTCTGAAGATACTCATCCTGAAGTGTGTGCCCAAATAAAAAAATATATAAATAAAGATTCTTCATGCACTCATGATAGTCAAAGATCTTGGGTGTTAGAATTTCAACCAAGAAATGCAGTGGAACGAGTGCGGAACTGTACACAAATAGGCAGTACAGTTATAAATAATATTGTTAGCTGTATTGCAAAATATTTACTTGAAACATGTGATTCAGAAACAGAATGGTCACTTGGCAAAGAAGCATACATTCATGAACTGATTACTTTGTTGCCAGAAGAAAATTTAAAAGCTATGAAAGCTGAATGTGGTGGACTCCAAACGCTTTTGCGCAATAATCATCAAATATTTAAAGTTCAGAATGGAAAAGTTCAGATAAGATATCCTAGAACAGTTGATGAAGTTTATAAATATAACACTAAAGGTGATAAAAGTAAAACAAAAGTACAGGTGAAACCATGCTGGTTTTATAATAATCATCCTAAAGGGTGCCCACTTACAGACATTAACTGCAGTTATTTACATATTAGAGATTGAAGAAAAGAGTGATTAACAAAAATATTTATTAGATTTTTTTAACATTAATAAATATGATATTTTATTATTTTTACTTAACAGTATTGCGAGTCTTAGTCTTAACAATCCCCAAATGCACAAAGAAATAAATGACATTTTCAATACCCAAGCCTGTTTGTTGTTTATGGTCCCCAATTGAAAATACAACCAAAAAAAATTTATTCTCTTAAGATTCATCTAATTCATTCCAAAGAACTTATTCAGTTCAGTTAAATTTCTCTCATCAACAAATTTTGCAACCTCATGTTCCCCCATAAATGAGCAAACCATTCTTAATGTAGTCCATATTGTTGATGAACTAGTATCAACAGATACTGTATCTGCATGTAAGCTTTTAGATTTAAACTGTTGGTTTAGAGCTACTAAGAAATGTTCTGCTGCTTCTCTATGAGCTCCTAAATTCATACAAGTTATTCCAACATTATAACGAGCTCTAATAAAACCAGGTTCTAAATGTAATGCATTATGATATGCTTCAACGGCTTCTTCAGATCTGTCGCTGTTTGCTAAAGTAGCACCGAGTCTATTCCATAATCTTGGATCATCATCTTTAACACTCAAAGCGGTTTTGAAACAATCAACAGCTTTATCATATTCTTGACTAATATTGAATACAACTCCAAGTGCATTTTGAACATCAGGATCAATCTGAGTAGGGTTTATTTGAGCAGCTCTCAAATATAGAGATTTGACATGATTCTCTAAACTTTTTAAGTCTAGCTTTTTTGGATCTATATCTTGTGGACATAAGTCACTATATTTAGGGCTAGCTTTTAACCAATCTAATAACGATGTATATGCAAACTTTGGCATATTTTCATTTGTATAAGCAGCTGCAAGAGTAATATATGCTTCTAACTGTCTAGGGTCTATTTCAAGAGATTTCTTTAAAGCTGTAATTGCAGCAGGGTCTTGTTCATTTTCAGCTTGTGTTGTTCCTAATAGAAACCATGCTTCAGCTGAATCAGGAATTTGTTGCACTGCTGCTTCAAAACATAAAACCGCACCAGGAATGTCTCCCATTTTAAGTTTTTCTTTGCCTATCTCAAGAGCACTCTTATTCTCAAGCATTACATTACCTTCTGTGAAAGTATATTCTTTAGCAATACCATTTGCTTCTTCTGAAGACCAAAAATCAGACACATCGCTGAGTTTGGCCCATTCATCTTTATATTTTTCAGACATTTCATCTAAAATTTCATCTTTAGTTTTTTGCTCTCCTGGAGCTGATTCAGTAAAATTTAATTCACCAGCACTTATTTTCTTCATGAAAGACATAAATTCATTATAAGCATGTTCATCATCTTTAACACTTTCCACATATTCTTGAGCTTTTGCCTTAACATCAACATTATGTATTTCATTCTCATCTAGGTATTCAATTTGAATGTTAGATGGTAATTGAGTATATGTTTGAGGTGTATTTGACATGAAAAAAGGTCTTCTCATTGTTTGTGGCATGTATGATGTAGATGGTCCAGGGCTCCAAGGTAAATTTGACTGTGTATTTAAACTTGGCATTAAGCAAGTAGGAATGCTACTTGCTACTGCTTGGCTTTGGTCAGGGTTATATTGTATGCTGTTCACTTTTGGTATGTTATTTAAAAGTGTGTTCATGTTGAATGTTTGAGGCCCCTGAGAGTTCTGAGACATAAACTCATTAACAAATATGTCCGCTTGAGACACTGGTTTCGATAAAGAGGCATCACGACTCACAATACTTGAAAGCTGAACAAGGGAATTATTTCCACCACAATCACCACCCACTAACTTGTTGAGGGACATTTTGCAGCTCTACAAATCACTACGAAGGAACGGAGCAAGGAAATCTAAGAACAAACTAAAAGTCCAAGCAGAACTAACAACAAACACCTAATCACGATTATGGAAAATTCTTTCTTTAGTTCAAAGGTCGACTGTAGATATCTATAAAATTACTCTATGACAATCAACTTTTGATCATTAAACAAGCTTTTAACATAAAATGTGAGTTTTGTAGAACGAAGGCATGTACTGAAAAAAAAAATGACATTTGACATTTCAGCAGTCTTCACAACCAAGCGAGTCCAGTATCCTATTCGGTAGCGAAAATTATCGTATAATGAGTTAAAATCGGCTAAATTATCGTACACCAGCACGATATTTAAAAATTTCGCAAGTAACTTTAAACTTTACTGCCAATTTAATAAGACTTAAATCAAATAAAATAATTTGACATATTTTTAAAGCCTGGCGTGCTGTTTACTGTACCTAAAGTAACTGGTTTGTATTATTCGATATAACTACTCGATACTTGTAATTTGAACCATAGAAGTATGTTTTTGGTAACGAATTCGAAGGACCCGTTTATGTGAAGAACTTTTTCCCCAACCTATTATTCTCTCAGCACATTAAATACAAGCCTGAACGTAAAGTTGAAACAACGTGAAGGTGCGAATGTTAATAGATGCGTTAACGATTTATTCTCGTAGCATGTTTAATATAATTGTGTATTATTAACATAGTTTAGTTAATTGATATTTTAAATTGTTTAGATTAAATTGCGATTATGCGTAAAATTAAAATGTATGTTAAGTAACAATATTGAAAGTTTTAATTGTAAAAAAATATCAATTTAAGTAAGAGATGGTCCTAATATTTGTTTGGTATTTGGTATTCGGCATCTTTTGTATTCGGCCGAATAATTCAGTTTTGGTGAAGAAAATATTCGGTTCGAGTATTTATATTTTCTTGGCTATACGACACGGGTCAGTACCAAAAGAAAACTTCTTATATAAGATTAAGTATTATATAATCGGTTTTTAATAAAGCTAATAAAATAAAGCAATTAAACATTAATCAACATTTGTATTTAAACATGTTTCGCTCAGCGCGTTAATAAATTAACGCATTAATTAGCAAGCTTTTTTTTCTAAGCATTTAACGTGTTAATGTATTATAGTCGTTCTGAACAACATTACATTTTGCACAGGACCACAGACTAAGAAAAGATACTACGTCACAAGATTAAAAAGTCAATATATTTTTTTATTTTTGATTTAATCAATAATTGTTCTATGAATTTAAATTTATTATAAAAACTATTTGTTCCGTTACTCCAGTAACAAGTGCAACCGGTGACATGTAATGTGATATAGTTGAACTTGATATACGAGATCATCTAGCTAGTACACCTAGAGCACGTTAGATGATCCTAAGGATATATTGATATTTTATTCATTACATCTATATTTGGCTAGAAAATATCGATGTGCTGATGTTATCGAAGTTAAAAAATCGATGTTTTCTAGCTGAATATCAATGTTTATTCAACATCGATGAATATCGAGCATCCCTATATAATTCTGTAAGAGCTGTAAAAGTAACGAAAAAAACTGTACCCGTATGTATTCGTTATACTATAAATCATTACTCGTTACTTTCGTATCGTTACGTTACTCGTTACTTCTAATACCTCATATTATGTTAGAGCAACGAATCAAATCGTATTGCGTAAGCGTATCGTACAGTATGATATCGCAACATTCGTTATTTGTAGAAACGTCACTTATATAAATACTGAAAATGTTATTTTTTATAGTTATAAAATTATAAAGCAGCAAATGGGAGTAGAAAATAATTTATTTATAATGAAATTACACATTTTAAGGCAGGAATCTCTGGTTCATATTTAAACATAAAATCTTTTCCATTCGCATTTATTGAATAGAGCTACACCTCTCACTTAATATTTGGCCCGATTTGGAAAGAGTCCTTTCAGATGGTACCCAGGTAGCCATCACTGATAAATATTTCTCAGTAAAGTTTGAAAGTTGGGGGTTTAGAATTGCCCGCGTATGCCACGATTTCAAAGGTCACTAATTTCGAGGAATAATGAGTTCTTCTAGATAATCTCTATTCTCATCCAATAAACAGTTTAAACTCATTAGTGTCTCAATCATAATAACTCTTAAAGGATAAGAAAGGATAATAAAATAAAAAATACGCGATAATAATAAATCAAACCATATGTTTCTATTCTGTAATTAATACTTTCTTACCTTGTTTCTGTACCAATCTCAAACTTTGTATATACACACAATACTTTTACTAAGCAGTAAAAAACTTGGACGATTAATTTCCAAATTATTCTTTAACAAACATCGTTTTTTAGTAACGTACGTTTAAACTCATCGAATAAGCGCGCGCAAGGCACACATGCGTAATATCCGTAGACAGAGAACGTAATGCCGCGACCGCACGTTTAGCACTTGCCGCAAACTCCAAACCTCTGCAATCGTTTGGCTTGATTTAGGGAATCACACATCGCCATCCACACGCTTGCGAGTGATTTAGTGTGTTCTGAAGAGCCAAGCATAACGGACGTGATGGATATTGAGGTTATATCGGCCATAACATTTGGTTTAATTTATTTTTGCAATTGCATAGTCCTGCCTGGTAAAGTTCCCGAAAATTTAAAATATCTTCACTTGACCAGTCACTCATGTTTTTACACAATACAAGCGTACATCTACTCACCACCAGCACACAAACGAGACTGAATACGCGCAAACGTATGGACGCGTCGCAAGCGCTGGCGCAAACTTTCTTTGATTTATGGCAAAAAACCGACATTCGATCGGATCGACTACAAACGCATACAAGTCAACACAAAACAAGGCAAACACTCTATCCATACGTTTGACTTTGCTGTGGCTTGTTGAGGTTTGGCAAGCGTGCGGACGCGGCATAAAACATACCATCAACAAGCGTTTCAATACCTACCCGCATCGACTAGTACATAATCTGAAACAGTGTAGGTGGGTACATACGAAAGATGGGAGTAACGAAATGCATTCGTGAGTAACGTTTCGTTACTCGGTACTAGATAAGACAGCGCACCCGTTACTCAGTACCGAATACATACGATTTGCTACAGCAGTATAATATTGTAGTCTTAGGCTACGCTACAGCCTTTGGCTACAGCTCTATCCACGGTTCCCAACTTAGGGGTTTTCCCCCCAACTTTAGGGGGTAATTGAGTGCTATGGGATTTTTTTGGGGGTTTAATATGTTTAGGGGTTTTCTGAATACATAATATTCTGTAATTCTGAATATAATAGAACTATTCAATCCAATAATAGTCATTCAATTTTTTTTACTCATCGAATGACTTCAGACTGAATTACATCTAGTGTAATTATAAAACTACTCTCTAATGACTAGTATCGCTTCTTTACTTTCTTTTTAGTCTGTGCTTCTATCCTAGTCAGTGTCATGTTCAAAAAGTAAGGCGCCTATTACACTACCCAATCTATCGGGCACGATATATCGGCCGCGATTTAGGGCGGTTGGTGTCGTTGTGATTACACTGCACTAGATCGCCTCCCTAACTCAGTCGGCATGCAAACGTGGCGTTGAAAGGATGGCTCCTTCACTCACAGAGTACCAAAAAATTGGCATAGCCCATACTTTAACTGCGGGCGTAAATAATAAAACAAAATGTTGGGTGAAAAATATTTGCTTCTAAATGACCAACTATGCAGTTTGAACTACTACAGAATGAGTTCTGCACAATTTGATTATATATTAAACTTAGTCATACCTTATATAGCGCAAAACAGCGGTTAGCTGTGCTGTAACCTTAATTTTTTTAGCAACGGGAAATGCATATCATGACTTAAAGTAAAAATACTCAATAAGTTTATTGTTTCCATAGGTAATTTAAAATAATATTACATAATTAAGTTAGTTTCACTATGGACCCTATCGGGCACAACAATAATATAAAGTTTATTATAGCATTAGTTTTTATTATTATAATTTATATAAAATTTATAATTGTACCAGACACATGCAAAGGCCATCTAGAAATGTTTAAAGCATTATATCATATTGATATATATATAAGAAAAAGTAATAATATTAAATTACACTTAATGTTATTTCTTTTCCTTTTTAGAAGACATTTTTGTCTGTTCGCAAATTTCGTTGTCGTTCACTGACGTCTCACACGCACGCTGCGCAACAACCGACTGAGCGCTCTAACACCCTAACAGCGATCACATTACCCGATAAATCGGCCCTAACTCTCATCGGGCGATCGGGCGCCCACGTTCATCCGATATCGGGACCTTAACTCTCTAACTGCGATTAGACTACCCAATTTACAGTGTACCCGATGGATCGTGCCCGATAGATTGGGTAGTGTAATAGGCGCCTAAGCTGTGTTGTTATTGTTCGTGTGTATATTACTACATATTACTTTTATTTTATATATTATTTTAATAAAATATATTTTTAGGGGAATTTTCAAAAAATTGAGGCAATTTTAGGGGGCTTTGACTTAGATTTAGGGATAAATATTTTTGAGAGTTGGTTACACTGGCTCTATCTGTGATTCACAGGTGATCTATGGAATCAATTTTCAGTTTATTTTGTAATAGTGAGTTTTTTGCGTAAATGAATTAAAGTTTATTTGAATACATGTCGTTTAAATCAACCAAGTGATAAAGTATTGTAAACAGTCTTATTTTTGAACATTCCTTTCCTTCCTGTTCCTTAGTAGTAACAAAATAATTTGAGGTTATGTAACACTAATTATTATTTATAATGGAATAAAAATGTCGCAAAACACAGACAAGACTTATGAAACAAAGCATGTAAAAGAGGACAATGATATAAATGCTATTTTAGAAGACAAATGGATGGTAATCAATTTTGTTAACTTTAATTTTGTAATTCTTTAATGTTCTCATTGAAAAATTATCAAATACTATAAATTATTAATTTTCACAGATCAGAGATTGTGATACTTACAAAGATGAGTACAAAGAATGCACAAGTTTTAGAGGGAGATTTCATCAGTACTTTATATTTGGACATACAATAGATTGCAATCAGTGGAAAAAAGATTATGATAATTGTTGCAAATGGGTTGATGATAAAGATATTAATGGAGCTGTAAGTTGATTGAGATGACTACACAAAATAGCAATTTATAATTAAATACAACCTTTATTTATAACAGTTTAATTAATAGTACTATATTTTTAAATGTATATGATTATAAAAAAGGATATTGATCAACTTTCATGAGTTTGAAATACTTAATAATATGAATAAAGAAATATTTAATAATATTAACTTTCAGGAGGCAGTCATTAATAGCGAAAAAAAAAGGCGCATGGAAAGATTGCAAGCACACTATAGGAACGATATATGGAAGAAACGGCAATCCCCACCAAGAGATTGGGACACACCTTTACCAGAATGGATGAATAAACGTAATGAAAACACATATCTTGCAATGAAGGCAAAAGAAATGAAAGAAGGAAAACTTGAGGACTCTGACAGTAGCTTTTGTTCGATAATGTAAATGGCATAAATGTGAATGTATAGTGCCAGTGTTTTAGGACATACTAGTAAATTTTTAATATAATGTTATTTATTACTTAAGAATTTTGATTTTAATACTTCATATGTGTGGCTACAACATGTTAAAATTTCCTCTGTTAATTTGGTACTTTACCCTTATGAGGTTAATATAGAGTGCAAAAATTTGTCTATAATCTGATGGGCTGTTGCCTGTACAACCTTATTTATATTAGGCAAATCTTAAACAATGAAGGTAACACTGCACTGACTTAACTAAGACAATATACAAAACTTCATTTTCTACATTAACCTGACCAGGAATCGAACCCAAGACCACAGAGATGGTGTGCATGTCACTGTGATGGATCATCCAATTATCACTAGTTGAATTATCACTGGTTTACGTTTTATATTTCAAGTGTTTGTTATGGTGTCTGTTATAAATCAATTTGGATAATAATAATAATATTCTTTATTTCACGCTAGACAGGACATAATACAGAGAAGATAGAAAAAAGAGAAAGATTACAGAGGGCGACTCTTTTTGAAATAACATAGTGATGAAAAGGGTTTTATAAAAGGACAGTAGGATAACCTATCAAAAATCTTTATTTTTAAGGTTGCGCGATATTTGTCCAAGAATGGTGTTTATGTAGCAGCATTTCAGCTACTACATGAGGAATAAAACTGCATAAATACTTTATATCTAACTACTCATTTATGTAACTAGGTATTTCAATCAAGTTTTGCTATAAAATGACAGTTTGTTTTTTGTCGAGATTCAAATGGCGGCAGGAGTTACAAACATTTTCCAAGTTGTCAAAGTTCAACATATACTTTCAAAAATATTAAATGAGAATAAAGGCAGTGTAGATTATTTCATATTTAACAAGCAGAATCGACAAACAATTTCTCAGTTTCATTTTTAAATATTGATTTTTTAAATAGGTTACAGACAAAAAGTTCCATTTCATCCTTTATGGCAAATAAACTGAGTTGTTTTTTAAAGCTTTCCATATCATTTTAAATCTGTAATATAAAACGTGTGTATGAAATAATGCAAGTTTTTTTTAAAATAAGCCTCCACTAAGATATCCAGTATCGATCGAAATGGCCATGGCCATACACACAAACCAGTCCTAGATAAAAAAATTAAACTCTTCTACTAGTATTATTAAATAAATCATATTTATTTTTTCTGTTTTTTTTATATATCAAAAAAAAATTTTAGTTTGTTATACCTAAATCTACAATCAATATTATAGGTACCAATTGTGATTTTGGTAAACATACTTTTGACATATTACAAAAAACTACTTGTTCTTTACCCTTGACTATAGTCAGGTTGAATGGCTATTAACATAAATGAATCTACTACTATAGTCTTGTTTGGGTAGAAACGTAATGAGAACTTTGTAACTAATATTTGTAATCAGATTTAGTAAACAAGGGTTATTTTTTTAAAACAACAAGTTATTGCCAACGCTAACTCGAGCGCCCCGTCCTTCGCTGCCCGTGAGGCCTGCGCATTCGGTTTAGATGAAAAAATCAATTTTTGGGATGCTTTTTCACTCAAGTTGGTACACATAGGGATAATACAATATTTCCTAACCACTTTGTCATTCACTTATTTATTTTATAATAAAACCGCAACGATTGACGTAGGTGTCCGCAAGTACCTACTGGCAATGTCGCGAAGTGACGGTACACGTTAGCGCGGTCGCTTTGCTGGATTTTGCCACGGAGGCCGGACTTTATTTAATGTTTAATATCTCTGTTATTTTTGATCAATTTTGCTAAACTTAAAATAATTCATAATGAAAAATACTTAAAAAATCCACTTTACCCCTGGCACTCTGAGATGGGTTTTTTTTTCTCGAGTTACCTACTTTTTAAATATGCTGATAACAAAAATCATTGATGTGACTCATTATAGCATCTCATAATGTATAGAAGTTTGAAACGCATAAAGAAGAAGAAAATGAACAGAAAAAGACAAAAGAAGAAATCAGAATTACAAAATTAAAAACTACTATTATTGAAAGACCCCCAACCTTGCCCCCTCTCCCGCTAATAAAATGTTCTTTCATGACTTTATTTTTTTACTCATGTCAAATTAAAATTTTTAACATTTAAAGTTTTTGAGCAGACAGATAGACGCACATGGTGTAACTACAAAGGTTCCTTGATGACTACGGAAAGCTTGGTCATCCAGGTACTTTCAGGGTTTCGGGTTTCAGACATACAATTTAGATCCATCATTTTTCTAAAAATATAGATTTTAGGCAGATTAAATTATAATGTAATAAATGTAATTATAATGTACAGAAATAGAATTGTATAAAAATTGAATAATAATGATCCTGACCCAGCAACTGACACTTATCGGTCAGATAAGGCCACGCCACTACTTTAATTGCGACAAACAAGATAAAAACTGTTTACTCGTCGGCTTAGGACCGACTGCTCTTTATTAACGCCAGTTAGTAAAGTTAACACGAATGAGTCGCATATTGTGCCGGAATTTGTTGGCTCTGCAACGATCGCGAGTGCTCATCATGGCTCGAAGCGCATCCTCCTTCCTCATTCAGGAACCCAAATACTCTTTTCTTAAAGAATTGGGACTGCAAGAAAAAAATGTTGGTGTCTTTAATGGAAAGTGGGAAGCCAACGGCGAGGTAAGATATATTATTCTCATGGATCTACATAGATGTTTTATTTAGGTAGACGTAAAAGCATTTTTTTACACACTATGCGTATAATCATAATGGTAATAACAAACTACGTTACCAAGTGATTCGCACGCCGGCGTCGCCATCTCTGAGGTCCCGGGTTCGATTCCCGATCGGGTCATTAAATAAAATGGACTTATCTATATTGTCTCGGGTCTGGGTGTCGTGGTATATCTTCATTGTCTCAAATACTCCATAATGCGGGGCTTTAGTTACTCATCTTTGAATCTGAACAATGTATGTGATGTTGTCCAATTTCTATCGTTCTTTTATCCTTATTCGAATCTGAAAAATAGTGCCAGGATTCGATGAAGATCCCCAGTGAGTTCCTAAATAGCAATCGCGATACTTTGAGGTTTGTATCAATCATTGACGAAGACAATTTACAGGTCATTCAATCAGTCAGTCCTGCTAACGGCAAAGTAATAGCTGAAGTACAAGCAGCCAGTTTGAGTGACTACGAGAATAGTGTGGCGGCAGCGCAAGAGGCATGGCACCTATGGGGCGAAATGCCGGCACCTGCGCGAGGCGAAGTTGTTAGGCAGATTGGTGATGCGCTGCGAGAGAAACTACAACCATTGGGGCAACTCGTCTCGTTGGAGATGGGTATGTTTAAATAATTAGCCAAAATAACAATAAACTATATCTGCTTTTTTATATCTCCAATCCAATAGTTAAATATGTTCTGTGGTTAAATACGAGATAAATCATGCCAGAAAGGAGTTAAACAATTTAGGTAACTCTATACTCAGAATTCAGTCTTTTGTCGTTGCATCTTTATCGTATCTCCAGCTCGAAGGACCAACTTACCGTTATAATAGATATTACTTAAGTACCTATATATCAGTATCGGTATCGGCAGATAATGAAAAATATTAGAGTTTTATACAAGTGAAATAGTATATCTTTTTACAATATCACCAGCTAGATCATAAACAAGTATGAGATAGCTGTTAATAAGTCGACGTAATGGTTTCTTTTTTTAGGTAAGATTCTTCCTGAAGCAATAGGCGAGGTTGTCGAATACATTCACGTGTGTGACCTGGCGTTAGGGCTATCGAGGACTCTCCCGGGCACAATATTTCCTTCCGAACGTCCCGGGCACGTGCTCATAGAAAAATGGAATCCTTTAGGTTTGGTTGGAATCATCACAGCGTTCAACTTCCCAGTTGCTGTATTTGGATGGAACAGCGCTATTGCTATGGTAAATAATCTATAGATCAGTTATTGCTTGTTTAAGTACCGAAATCGTGGATTTTTCGATATCAATAAAATCAAAAGTACCTATAATAGGTGCAATTGAAACTTTGTATAATAAGTTCATTATTGGGATTACATCCTGAAATTTGATGTATCTAGTGTTAATCAAACATAAGTTATGGGGGTTCAAAAATTCCAAAAAGCGTTTCGAGAAAAAGTAGGTAGTGCCCCTTGCCCTTCGTTTATCTTTTACTTATAAGTCCCTCTGCCTTGCCGTAGGTATTACGCATAACTATCGCAAGTGTCGAGCTCCTTGTCACTCAAAGTGGTCCAAAATGTAAACGTTTAAATAATGGGTCATCATGATGTAATATCTACCTACCCCTAGTCTACATATAAAGTATGCTAATGAACTTTATCACATTTAAAAATGTTAATGTAGCTATGCCCGCTGTGATAAACGGTATTATTTGCCATTATCGTATCGATTAGTTAATTTAAGCAATTATATTAACGGAGATAAGATCGGCGTAGGGTCTTAATTTTGTTTCCTTTGATTGTATCTAAGATTTGAATTTTTCACGTTATTGAAAAAGGCCTAAGTATACTCATTTTGTCAGTAGCAGTATTATGTAATTTACCGGGGTAAATTTTGAACTCTATTCTAATAAGATTTAAAATGTAGTTGATATATTTTACAGTTTTGTGTAACCTACAGGCGAATAAACCTTAATGTCTTGGCACTTAAGTTCAAAATAGATGATTATGGAACTTTCTCCTCTATAGGTATGTGGAGACGTCAGCGTTTGGAAACCTTCAGATACGACTCCATTAACAGCAGTGGCGGTCACAAAGATAGTTGAGAGCGTACTGAAGAAGAATAATCTCCCTGGGGCCATAGCTTCGTTATGCGTAGGCGGTAAAGATATCGGCCAACAAATCGCAAAGGACAATAGGGCCAAGCTGGTCTCTTTTACGGGTAGTACTGCTGTAGGACAACAGGTAATTTTATTGAAATTTTACTTCTGACATACTGAACTTGGCATATAAAAATTTGCCCCGAGCACGTATCAATTCATGTTTCATAATCTGGAATCTGGACGAACAAGCTTCCATGGGATTTACTTTCAAGAATTTAAGTTACTACACTGTTTTACACGTAGCTTTAACTAAGAGTTTGGCGGATGTAACGCAACTTATTTTTTTACGCCACTTCCCAAAAATGGTGTATATTAAACTAATATTCAATAAATACTATACTAGCCATTCTTTTGAGCACGGCTCATTTCTTTTCATTTACTATTGTATAATATAAAAACCCCTCAATGTTTATGACGAATGCAAACTGCGCAATATTAAAAATATCTTACGTAGGTATTCTTTTTTTGGTACAAAGGTCGGTGTAGAAGTTCAGAAGCGATTCGGTCGCCACCTGCTGGAACTTGGCGGTAACAATGCCATCATAGTGAACGAGGACGCGAACCTCGACCTGTTACTGAACGCAGCTCTGTTCGCATGTGCTGGAACAGCTGGTCAACGCTGCACCACCACCAGAAGGCTACTCCTCCACAAGAAAGTAAGATAGACCAATGTAAAATATCCGTCACGAAAGTGAACCCAAATTATAGTAGTTTTTGTCATCGTTATGTTAAAAACTCCGTGACCGAGCGACTTTTATTCAGATTATTATATTTGATTAATTTTGCATTCACAATGCTATACTGAATAATATCCTTAACTAAAAATGCTTAAAAAATCCACTTTGTTCCTAGCATTCTGAGATGGGATTCGAACCCATGATCTTTCGCAATCCAGCGACTGTTCTAACCACTGAGCTACATAGATTTCAATAATCGCCATGTCTAAAAATAGAGGTTGATGTAAAATATAAACTTTTTTATATTTTGTCTCCGATCGGAGTGTTATTTTCAACTTCCTTATTACAATAGATCCAAACTAACTTTTTAAAAATGTTTTCTAATAAATTAAGTATTATTTTAAAGCATCGTATATTACTTTAAAGGTGACGAATTTTTCATCTTAAACAGGTTTACAAAGATGTTGTATCCCGGCTGAAGAAAGCATTCGCAGGAGTCATAAGTAAGATAGGTGATCCTCTACTAGCAGACACCCTCATCGGCCCTCTTCACACGCCTGCCGCCGTAGAAGCATACAAGAGGACTGTGGCGGAGGTCATCAAGCAAGGAGGAACTATCGAGTTCGGGGGAAAAGTAATTTATAATATTGACACAGATTATAGACAAGAACATAATCTTTATTGGCAATGCAAACGCCATTGTCAAAGTATGAAATATCTTTATGCATAATGCAAAACTAGTTTCTGTGATATAAATCGTGTAATGGTCTCCTACGTGAAGTTGGCAGTAATGTGGTGACGCAAAGTGCCATTAAAGTTAAGAAGAAGAAGAAATAGGACCATTTTATTTTAACTAGTTATTTCATAAGGAGCATATTTCTATTGTTTTATAATTGAGAAACACTTTAATGTTAATATTCCATAATATTATTTTTGCATTCATAACGTTATCTTATATTTGCTTATTGGTTCAATTATAGCTTAGATTGTAAGATAAATAATGTTACATGGTTTTATCTTTAGCAAAGAAAAAATATTTTACGAATTATGATAGTTAGAGATGAAAACTACTTAACTGACTTTTTTTACATTCAAGGCAATTTGGGAAATATAAATATTAAGGATTGTGATGTCTAAGATCCAAAGACAGTTTCTCTCAGAATATTTATATCCAAATTATCAGGTAATGGAACGTGAAGGTTACTTTGTGGAGCCGACCATCGTCACAGGGCTGCCACATGACTCCCCACTAGTTATGTCAGAGTGCTTCGCCCCCATCGTGTACTGTATAGAGATTCCAGACCTCGATACCGGCATCAAATATAACAACGAGGTCGAACAGGGACTCTCTTCAAGTTTATTCACAGAGAATATGGGTGATGTTTTCAAGGTGAGCATATTGTAACTAAAATAACAATTTTGATGAGCTCATGGCGCAGTAGTTTGCTCGTTAATTCTGTGATTCCGGAGAATAAGCAAAAAATAAGCAAAATAATCAAAGGTTGTTAATCGCTTGGGTGACCAAAAATTTATTGATTCGATATTTTCTGGTGAGCTGTGTAACCATAATTAGCCCTTTTATGTCCTCAATGTAGGAGCTCAAGGTTTCCTTATTAATGGTTAAGGAGGATAGGCCATGGCCCTCGACATTGGCTCCATGCGGAATGGAGGGTATTAACGACTGCAAATGCAGTCAGGACTCTTGAGATAGGGCCAGGAATATTTTAGTCAACCATACCGAGACCGACCCTAACGAAAATTGCTTACCAACAACTAACGCGGGCTTATCGACTACACCACCGAGCTACTACTAGTTGAGCTGTGTGTAGTTTTAAAATAAACGTTTTATCTATCTATCTTAAGCAGTTTGATCTCCAATCCGCAAAAATGTTGAAAAACATCACGTGATTAATGGACGGCCCCAAAGAACAGAATTAAACGAGGCTCAACTTAAAAAAAATTGCAAAAAAATAATTAATACTAAAAATCAACATAACAATTATTAACAACAGTACAAGCGGCGGCCTCACCGCTAAAAAGCAATATCTTCCAGGCAACCGAAAGTTTAGGCTGGAGAGTTACATTAAAATTCATCTATAATAAGTAAATATTTTATTCCCAGTGGATCGGCCCGCACGGTTCTGACTGCGGCATAGTGAACGTGAACATCCCGACTAACGGCGCAGAAGTGGGCGGTGCGTTCGGCGGCGAGAAGGCGACCGGCGGCGGCCGCGAGTGCGGCTCAGACTCGTGGAAGAATTACATGCGCCGCTCCACCGTCACCATCAACTATTCTGGCACCATCAAACTGGCGCAGAACATCAAGTTTGGTGATGAGTGACGTCACTAATATCAAGCGTAGTGCCATCAGTACACCGACGCAATCTCATGCGAATGCGAAACTATCGCGAATGTGAACAGGGTTGTCACATTGTGAGAACAAAATATTAAATTGTATTAAGTTTACAGCGTAAAATCGGAACGGATAGCAACACTGAATGCGAAACACGTCCGTCTGTGTAACGTTTTTCACATTTGACTGCGGAATCGTACTGATAAGGATGTAGCTATTTCATCGACTTAATAATATGCGATTGCGTCGGCGTACTAACGGCGTAAAGGCACTGTTCATGATCACAAACCTATGTGTATAAGAACGACAAAAGACAACAGTGAAGTAGGAAGCAGTACGGACGCGCACTAATTTGTTATTCTTATGTACACGCAGGTTACCATAATATCACATTTCCGCAATGAAGTTTGACCTTGTGACACTTACAGTGTTATTAGAGACTGCACTAAGTACTAATCAACATTCATAATTGGAGACTTGGCAAAGGTTATCCTAGTAAGAGGTTCCACCGGAGTAAATCTACTCTGAGGCAAAACCTTGTTTATTAATAGCAATGTTAATGTATTAAGGTTTAAAATCGACTACGGTTTGGCAGTTTTGTATAACCTGATGTGCTGTTTAGCCAACCGCGTCCGTCCGACGGGTACGGCTGCTGGAACCAAAGAACGTGGACCTTTGACATTTGTATAGAAATCACAATTTCCTTTGGCAATGTGAAATGCTATTGGACGTGCTCCAACGCCGATTCTGGAGATCGACCTAACTTTACGCACTATATAATTCCTATAGTGTAAGTACTCCCCTCCATGTTCTTTGTGGTTATTATGTTATGTGCCGTACACAGGTATATTTTAAACGCACGTTTTGAGCGCCGTAGATACTGATTTTTGCATTTTTATTCGAAGGCGTGTAAAACGCGACACAAACGCGCATGTAAAGCGCGTAAAAAGGCGCGTAAAAGTGGGGCGCGCACACTTCACCGCACCGTTTACGCCACAGATGCAAAGATATTTTATTGTGTGCTGCGTGTTTCTATCGCTGTATATGCTTGTGTACGCGCAGTAGACGCACGTTACATGATCACCTCGTGTGCTTAGGTTACAATTTTGCATTCAAATCTCGTTTCAAGTGCGTATATGTGCGTTTAAAATACGCAATGTGTTTGGGGCCTAAGTCTGCCGAACAACCTAACATTCTGCAGATTCTAGCAGCATTTTCATAACACGGATTTACAGCAAAACCGTTATATGTATAAAACATGTCTAATTGTTTTTTTCCAGTATGTAATATATCTGGACCTGAAAAGCATTAGGTCGGATGTCGGGAATCATAGGCATAACTGTATAAAAACAGAAATAGCTAAATGCAATCAAAATATTTGAAAAAGTCGTCTGATCCGACTTTATGCATGACTGTTGCTCATGAGTAAAAAGGCACAAACATACAAGAGTTAATTTGCCGGAAAGAGAAAAAAGAGTGTAGCAACGTTATGGCGATAACTGATTTTAGCTGGTTCTGCACATCCGACCTAATGCTTTTCAGGTCCAGATATATATATATATATATTTTAGGTGTTTTCAAAAGCGTAATCTAAACTATTTCGTAATTTCGTATCATTGTAATCACATACTCATTAAAAGGTAGTATGTAAAGCAACTGAAGACTGATTTGTGATTAATAAAATGTTATAACAAGTTAAAAAAGGGTTTTATTTATTTCATGGCTTACTTATTTTATCAAGCTTCACCATTGTCAATATTTTCTTTCGTACATGTATACTTACACTTATGAGAATGAAAACATTCATATTTGATATATGCATAGTAAATTATGTGATATTTACAATTTACTAACTGTAAATCTTATGTATGCAATTATTCTATTTACAATTTCATGTTAACAATGTGCAGTGTATATTTATATCAGGAATGTGGATGTTGAACTTGCCACAGATCCACTGCAATATCGCGCGACTGCTGCTTGTGGAACCTGTATGTGGCTGGTAAATCATATCGTAACTCTGCAATCACGCTTCCTTTGCCTCCCCATTCTTTGATTTTCTTTTGTACATGTGACCTATTAAAATAATTTATTATAATCTGTGTTAAATTAAATTATTAATGCTGTTTGATATGTTAAATTCAATTAAGATTGGTAGCTCTAAAAATTTGAGACATTGAAAAAGAGAACTTATTTCATAATACCTTGTTGTAGATTTGTGTAAAGAATAAACACTGTCGCAACTCAAAGTAAATCCCATGTGTAGAAACTTCATGTCAATTCCAGAATTATTCTTGGTTCCAAATGGTGGATTCATCAAGACAGTGTCAAAGTAGTTTTCCCAACTAAAACAAGAAATATTCAAGTATTTTAATTAAGTCTATACTAATGTTATAAAGAAGTAAGAGTTGATTCTTTTTATTAATTTACTAGACTCCAAAACTACTTTTAAAAAATATGCTGGTGACATAGACAATAATTTACACAGGTGGAATGGCAGGAAAACCACTAACTTATTAGATATGTACCTCTATATGCAAATTTTTTATTGGATTCTATTCTTGAACAGGGTTTTTTAAATAAACCTTAAAATATATTACCGAAAGATTGAAGAATTTAAGAAATCACACTGTAATGCATTTATATTTGTAGTTTCATTTTCCTCCAAGTTACATTGAAATATATTTAAAGCATCATCATCAATATCCATGGCAGTTACCATTCCTGCTCCCAAGAGTGCAGCTCCTATACTTAGTGAACCAGGTCCACATCCTGCATCTAATATTAATTTGTCTTCTAACCCTGCATATTGTGTCTGCAACAAATATAGTAACTAGTTTGGTGCAGATATTACTGCCCACTTTTAAAAAGGCATAATTTAAAAGAGCCAAGAACAGTACTATCATATAAATGTTCAATATAATAAAACCTACTTTAAAGAGTAAGACAGATTTTATTTCATTGAAGTTCTATGATATGAGAATGTCATGATCAGCTACATGTCCAAGGCTGTTTTGCAACAGGATAACATAGCAGGTCAAATAAAATAGCCTTAATAGTTAATGATGCTCATTAACAGAAATTAAATAACGAAGAAAATAATGAAATAAAGTCACACCTGAATAGTATATAACATGATTGCAGCAATATGAGCTGGTGTTTCATACTGTTCAAACTGTATTTTTGGTTTTGAGAAGCCATTTAGCCCCTGTAAGTGCCCTTGCAGGGTCTTGAGTTTCATGACAGCTGACATTTGTTCTTAGTTACTTGTTATCAAACCGTGGAAGCACTGGCAGTATTTGGTTACCAAATGATGAATCTTGAGATACAAAAAAGCCACAAGATGTAGCATTTGCGTGTTGTAGTGCGGCACGGTGACTAGTATTCACTATATTTGCTTCTGGTAGTTGAGGGAATCCCTGGAAGTTTATGATTTAATTACAGAGATTTTCATAATTTTTTATTGAAAAAATGAATTTTAAGTAGTCACTTACAGCAGTCGCCGAGACAGGTGGAATGGAACACATAGGCAGTTGGCTAACTGGGTTTGGTTGAGTCAGTGCTATAGATGTAGCAGTAAGTGGAGTAACAGCACCTTGCTTTAAAAGCATCTGTTTCTTCAATTGAAGTTCCTCTAATATCTTCCGATTTGTTAATTCTATTGGGAAATAAAATTGAAGATCATAACTTTCCAATAATGTTATTGGTCGGATGGACAATATACTAACCTCTTTGCGCGTTAGGCTGTGGAAACGCCATCTAACTTATGTAGTAAATTAAAAGACAATATGAAGAGCACATATATCTTTTCAAAATAAAATTTATTTAGATATTTTATTAAAACTTATTTTTTAATCTCTATCACAGACTAGTAAGGAGATACATCTCTATTGATATGGCATCTCTAAAAAAAAAAAACATTTTGACCAATCTTTGAGAACGTCCCATAGACACAGACAAAGAGTAGTATTATACCACAGACCTAGTTGTATTATACTTAATTAGGGGAACACAGCATTAATTCCTAGCCAGTTGCTATGTATTTTTTAATTTAGATGAAATCACTCATTGAATTTCACTTTCAAGGTCAATATGCTAATGCTTACGGAACACAACAGTTTATCGCATAAGCGAAACGAGACTTTATCATTTACCATAAACTAACTTAAAAACTACTAGTTTATGTCGTAGATGGACTGAACGGAACAAGAAGTTGTGTCGAAGTAACTAATTTAGTTGACGTAGTTCAAGAAACAATTTTGAGAATAAACTGCCATTAAATTTTTTTCACTCTTAACATTGTTAAAGTTCAGAATTGTTTATTTAAAAATACTTATTTAATCACAAAATTGCCTTTATTCCCCAAATAATTGAAATTCATGATAACACAATTGAAGGAAATTAAAATAATTGCATAAAGTAATCTTGACCTACGTCATCCACATTAGAATCACAAACTGATTTGTCATTTTAATTTAAAATGTGTATTTATCCCAGAAAAGTAATGTACTAGCAACTCTAAATCTTTGACGTTAAAGTTTATTCTAAGTGTTTTAACGTAACCGAGAGAGTGAGACAGACACCTCGCTATCAGTCGCGAAGAACAAAGAGAAATAGACGTATTACGTCACCTCGCAACGTTCGAGCTGTGTTGGACTGTTGAAGCAACGCTTTAACTTACGTTCACGTATAAAGCAGTTTATCAATAGACCGTAAACTAGTCTATCAATTGATACCCAACAAACAGTCTAAAAATGGTTCGTTCATTCAATACCCACGCCTAATACTTTATCAATGCAAGATTAAGTGTTAAATTGAAGTTCAATGAAGATCGCCGATATCAAAATTTCAAAATTACTTACCATTGATAGAAAATACGAATGTGTGATTTTGACCCAGTTTTTCAGTGATTACGATTTTATATGGGTGCATGAGCAACTATTGGACCCATAGATATACCTTGTGTTATTTTCTCGTTTTTCGATTTTTACCGGTTTATCGCCATATTGTTTAATGCATAGACTCCTTATTAGGAAATGAAGATTTCCGCTTCCATGTTCATCTATCTTACAAAAATGCGGGAATTTCGTAATTTACCAAATCGTATAGACCAAACACACAGGTACAATAAAGAAAATAGGTTTTAGGTAATTCAAACAAAAATTTGGTATTATTAATAATCAGTTCCATTTAATAATCTATGAGATCTGCTGGATTTTACAGGTATTTTCTCAATTTCTTCTAATCAAGCAAAAGTAACTTGTGTTCATTGATACTCGGGTAATCGGACTAAGACTTATGAATAAAAAAATATCATATAAAAGCATTTATTTTAAAACAATGTAGGTAATTTATATACTTTCTGATTCTTGGCAAAACAGTCTCACATAAGCAAGTCAACATTTGGCCTCTCTTAAGAATAAACATAAGACTAACATGCGCTGCCATAACTCACAAAATATAATTGAAATATCAGATAAATAATCATAAAAAGTGTTACATAAAAAATATCTTGCCTAAATTGTAGTTATTATCGAGTTATCATTGCATCTTGGTTGAGCAATTTTAGTTAAATTTGTTCATTATTGTAAAATATTCTAAACAAAAAGGGAAAATCATAACTTATTAACAATTACTAGAATTGACTCACAATATCAGATAATTATATATATAATTATTAAACAAAAAAAAACATCTATGTTATGTACCTAAATAACAGGTTTTGACAGATGCAGACATTACAGTCCACAATGAGTTTGTGGTAGATTATACTATAAAAATTAGTTAATAAATGCACAACGAAAATAGAATTTCGGTTGCCTTTGTCTTTTAAGTTTATAAAAATATTTTATAACAATTTAGAAAATTATAACAGTTTTATAAACAATTTAGAATAATAATATTGCACAAGCTAAAAGTTTAAATTATTATGTGCATTTTATAAATACTATTAAAATATAACAACAAATCAACACAACTCTATTCTCTAAACAATCTTATTGACTTGAGTAATGACACTTTTTAGGAAGTTTTGAATATAGATGGCAGTGGATAAGATAGGATTGCTCATTTAAAAATTATGTTATTTATATGACTAATTAATTATTGATAATCGAAATCCCAAAGCCATCTATAAAATAACACGTTAAATCATAGTATATAACTACTTTAAGATATTAAAGAAGATACCTGTATCTGTATAGAAGATAACTGTATCTTTTGGAAAATAAAACGACATAGTATTAAGAATCGAAATTATGGAAACCAAACCTGAATTGCCAGCGGCTTAAAATATTATGCTGAATAGCATCATACCATTTATAATAAATATATTTTTAGGTTGTACATCGTGGGAGTCTAGAAACTGTTTGTAGCTACCAAAACCGTCCACCGTGAGGGCGACCAGTGATAAGTATTGGTAACAGACAGATAATAATTCAAATTACAAAAATATATAATATCTGTATTTTAAAATGTTGAAAGCAATTAAAACTTTTCAGATATCGAATTTGAATGTCCTTACTCCCTAGTCTTGCGGCTATACCTCGTTATTTCATCCCTGATTGATCTGCGAAATGAAGTCCTAAAACAACTGTCAAAACGACAGATTAACTGTCAGGCCTTCATTTTGAGAAATTAATCATGACTTATGTATATTAATATTGTTTAGTTACGTTGCGTATTTATATTGTCTAGTTACGTCCTAGTTCTGGCGATAGTGACGGATCAACGAGATCAGATAAAACTCAACATAGATTGACAGTTGTTGCTTGTACGCTGTTGCATTTAAGCCCACACTCCTTTGAGAAACTTAAATGCATTTGCATGTAATTCAAATTCTCAATCCAATGAAGAAAAGATTTGAAGAGTAGAAACAACTTCTGTTATACGATGGATCGGGTTTAAGAAAAGTAATCTTATAAAATGATTAACGTGTCCCATTTGTTTTATTGACTATAACACAATGTGGCCGCCTTTTATAACTATACATATTAAAAACAATGTAACTAGTCAAACAGATCCGTTATTGACTATAAAGGAGTAACAGGAAATAATAACGGCCACACCGCCCTCATACCGTGTTGATTTGTTTGAAATAATATTTTTCACAGCACAGGAACAAACACATTCTGGACTAAATAAAATCTGAAAATGATAACAACATATGTTTTTAAAGACTAGTACATAATTTTGGCACAACACTATGCAATCTCGGCATAGTGGCATCGATGTTGTTCTCTTCTTTGAAATTACATTTATATCTGTTTAGTGAAAATTAACATGACATTAGGGTATTCCACTTATCTATACCAAAGTCAGTGACAAATATATTAATGGATTCTCTACAGTATCTTAACATAAGCAAGCGAATTAAACTAAAAGTTCTTGTTACAATTATTTGTGCCCAATGTGTCATGTTCGATGTATAGATTTGTAGTAAATACGTTATGAAACTGTAAATATTTTTCTTTTCATTAGTTTGATAAGTCATCACTGTACAGATGTATATGGACAGCTGCCACTACAATAATAAAATGCAAAACAATGTATATTAAATTTTAGTAAAAAAAAAAATATCATAGATAATAAAAAAAAAAACTTAATTGAGTAAATAAATTCTCTTGTTCCATTGCTCATTCAGTGCTATGTACAGATCAGAGTGTAAAAATAACGGTACGATAATAGTGACAACTGCACGTGCCTCCCACGTTAATATACATGTACCCTGTTGTGAATTGGGAATATAGTTAATTGGAAATCACCTAACGTACATATCAAAATACTAGACTAGGGTAGAAAAGGTCGGGCACAGCTTAACTTTTGGACAATACCGCATTGACGTTTTACGTTAATTTGGATACGTTTTACTTTTATTTTTACACCCTGCCACAATGAGTATTATACCTCAACAACACTCTTAGTTCCGAACAACAATACATTACCTAACACTTTCCCTGTATAAATATATTATTATATAGTCTTGTAAAAGAAACCTTTGAAACCTCATAGGTTATTAACACTACGTGAGAAATTACACAAGAGCATTAGGATACAATATTGCTACGAGTTAACTTATATCATTTGGCACTAAATTAACATATTGCATCTCGAGCGTTCGTCACATGTTTACAACTGGCATATTCTTCCAATTTTTCCCCCTAAATTTACATTTTTAATGTTAAAATTTATTTTCCTAATGATATAAACTTCAATTGGGCCAAATTCTCAATATAACTTCATTATGATATTATACATAATCCAAATTTATAGACGCACTCTATATTGAGCAATGTGCTCATTCCCATTCTATTTAAATTGTTTAAATAGTCATAGAGCTGACGGGAACGGCATCTTACAGGATAATAAATACACGAAAAAAAAAATAGACAAGACGCATCTCGGCAAGTAAATTTGGCAAAATTGAGCATTAAGACATTCTTTTTTTAATTGGCATCGCAAAATAGTACAAGTTAGTAAAGATTTTACTACGTAGCACTGAGTGTCTACTAAAATATCCTAAGTCTGGTAACTGTAAGTTATTCATAGGTACATCGACCTTTACAGGTGATCGCTAAAGCGTGCAATGTCTCTGTTTCACGAATACTGCACCTGTTACTAGGTGGCTCTGATATTTATTTACGATTGTCTGTTCTAATACATAATATATCCTTACTACTAATCCGACCGAAAAAAGAATATCTGTTACACGGAATATATTGATATGAGTATTTAAAAATACGTGAATTGCTATTAGCGCG